CTTCCAAAAAAAAAAAAAAGGGAAAACATAGCCCTACTCTTGCTGCTTGACTGCGGTTCTGGGCCAAAAGACAATGCATCTGCTGGCTACAATTTTCTCCTCAGCTTCGTTTTTTACTCATCTTACGGTTGCTGCAGCCACTGCAATCGGGAAATTAGCATTCTTATAAATATTTATTCAGGTTTTTCCCATCTTCTCTAGTGTGTATCTTTGCCTCTTTGAACTCCCATTATCGTGTGTGTTCAGTATGTGTGTGTGTGCGTTGTTAATATTTATGATTTATACGTATATCTCTTGAATATTGCCTTCTAATTGCCGACTCAAGTTGAACGGGTCCCCAACTCGACTTACGACCATGTGATGTCATTTGTTTGTTGTTTGGTGAGATCACGGCGCACCCCAAAAGAAGAGATGCTTACGCAGATCTGTCCACGATTTTGTCATGTAATGCTGTTTGAAAACTAAGTGGGGGGATCTCAAGGTCTCTCAATCTATTATTTAAGCTTCATTGAATCAATCAAACGGTTTACAATCAAGTGTAATGTGCGTATTAAAGTACAGCCTGACCCAATTAGACATCGTTATCTGTTTACAAAGATCTGCCGCTCTAAAGCTAGAGTCTAGACCTCTCTCTATCGGTGTCTCATTTTCGCTTTGTTTTCATATTACACTAGCAGCTTCCATAACAATCAACTACACATTGAGAAAAGAAAGTAAATTACAAAATAAAATAAATTTAAACCTAAAATATATTAAATGGTAACTATTTAAATATTTGATTACGATTCTAAGTTTGTTTCTTAAAATAATTTATTTAATAATAATTTTTATACGTCTTACACTTTTTATTATTTTCTGTGCAGCTTGTATGGCAATTTGCAAGTGATATTGAAGCCTCATTAAGACGGATGTCAAAGTGGGCTGGATGGGTGGCAGTGGGTCTAGGTGGGCGGGGCAGTGGGTCGCTGTTTGTTGTGGCTTCTGCGGTCGCCATTGTGGCTGTGGTTGTGGCTGTGGTTGTGGCTGTGTCAGTCAGCGAAGCGCTGAAGTGGCACGCGCTTGATAACAACACCAAGTCTCGAGCTCTCCCAGTTGCCATGTTTCCCGGCACCATTTCTGGTCTCCACGGGGAGACGACGCACTGCAAGTCGAGATGCGCTCATTTGAAATGCAATTGAAACCGCCAGAGACAGCCAGTGACATGACAGCAGATAGCGGTAAGCGGCAGTGGCTGCAATAATAATAACGATAGTACAACAATAACACTAGTGAGGAAAAGTAGGGGCAGTCACTTATCTATCAGGCAGGCAGTTTCCATTCGCAGGAAGTAACTAGAAGTTAACAGGTAAATACTAAATGGAAAGATAAGTGAAGGCAAAATGGGTCATAAATAGTTTCTTCTTTTGTATTGTTACAAGTTGGAAAATATTACAAAAAATGTTATTTTAGAAGGATTTAAAATTTATTTTAACTAACTTTTAACCTGCTTATCAGAGCAGATTTCAAACTATATTGCCTGCTTAGATATTGCCTTTCCAAACAAAAGGATTTAATCTAAAAACCCTTTGCTCACCAGTCCGTATAGATGTCAATAACATTTCTGTTTACCCAATTTACGGAATTAGGTTAACTAGTGTTATCAACGGCATTTCAGACGTTGCCGTCATGTCCCTCGAAATGCCAAATGGCAAATGCCAACTCCACCCAACACTCCCTCCTTTCCTGCCTTTCCCAACTGCCACTTTTTGCAACGAGTGATGGAGGGAATAACGAGTTGAAATGGAAAATGCATGAAAAGCACAAATTGATAATTGAATTTGGCACAGGCTCAAACTGCAGTTGTTGTTTAGCTGCTACTATTGCACAGCTTGCGCCAAGTGGGTCAATGTGAGCCGGGGTGACAGGCAAGAAATATATAAAAAGTACAGCGACAACAACAAATCACACATACATCAATGGTGACATAAAACTGTAGCCAATTAGAAGGAAAATGGAAAATATTTGTCACTCAGCTGGAAACAAAATGCCAGTGTAGGTGTAGGTACAAAAAAGAGAGGGAAATCCTAGCAAATCTATCAAAATTCTCGACCGATTATTATTAGCTGTTATTTGGCCATTACAGGCCCTAAAATATGTCAAGCTGTCTGCGTGGGTGATAAAACTTCAATGGAACACAGTGATGGGCCACAAATTACCCAAAAGACAGCGTCGTCATCAAAGATATTCGATTTCCAACACTCGGCACTCATAAATTTCACAAGAGCTGGCGCCCAGGATATTGAAATACATGACCCGAGGGGCAGGCACGAATCCCACAAATATTGTTGCTGGATATACCCAACAAATCTAAAGTATTGCATGTTCGCACCCATTTCTCCACTTTCCCTCTCCCTCTCTTATGAATACGGCTGGGCATTCGGTTAATTTAACGGCAATAAAAACATCACGCATACGCCCTGCGGTGCCAGTCGATGGTAGATGGTCGGTGTAGATGGTGGTTTTCCTACACCGAGGGGGAATCCAATAAAACAACTGCCTTGAAATTGTCATCGAAGAGAAAGAGAGATGGAGAAATGCCCAGTGAGCGATGGTCGGGTGGAAAAAGTTCAATCATTAGGTGGCACATGACACAATGCAGCAAGGCAAACAGAAAATGAACAAGGGGCACTAGCTAGTTGTGGGGAGTAAAACTTAAATTACCCTATAAATTCTAATTTAATTTTTTTTTTCGTTATATTATCTGTTGAATTCAAAAGGTTATTTTGATTTTTTACAGTAACTAAAATTATTTTTAATAATTTTAAAAGTTTTTAAAAACCGAAATACTTTTCCAAAATATCCAAGCACTCTTTTCCAAGGTGAAAAAGTGTCGGACGAATTGTGAAATAGAAAATGGAATTGAACGAGTGTGGGGAGGTGGAGAGGGAGGTGTATTATACACATACATATATCTATGTGTGGGCGAGTATCGTGTTGGCCCGTTAGCTTTAAAACGCCCACACCAGCACGATCTCTCGCCCCGTCCCTGTCTAACTGACACCACAGCAGCTGCATTCGTAGTATTCCAAAGATTAAAATGAAAACACAAAATATTTCTCATTCCCGAAATGTTTATGTCAAAGCTAAAAAGAAGAAAACGAAAATCCATTGCAGAGGCGGAGGTGGAAATGGAGTCAGAGGGAGGCGACACCGGGTGAAATATTTGTAAATTTCAGGCGAACTGAGATAAGCAGAAATGTGTAACCAAACCGAATCCGAAATAATCTTGGATGCCTTTCTATTAATCAGAGTGTGGAATTTTTCAAAAGTTAATTTGGGGCATAATTGCTTTTTACTTAAAATTTATTGATCAGTGGGTTTTATTTATAAGATCTGGATTTTCGATTGATACATAAGACATAATGATAGAAAAACTAAGTTGCATATTTGTAGTGGGTGACAGTTTTAATATAGACTTAATGGTTGGTAATAAGTATAAATATATACAAATATGTATTTGTAGAATAAAAAACAGATCACCATTCTAAAGTTTTCTTATATAACTTCGAAAAGAGTACACTAATTTCCAACATATGAAATTTAGGTAAAATTTTCTTAACAATATCCATCGTACTCCTAAATGTTCGGTGGCCTGGCTATCTGTATGATCTCAGCATTATAATGAGCCAAGCGAATGCGCAGGCGTATTTTGAGCGGCGACAAGATTGCTTACAAAACATACAAAGTGGAAAAATATTTAGCAAGAACCTAGAAGTAAAAGCGGTCCCCCCTCCAAAAAAAATCAAACGGGAAAAACAAAACAATATTTTTATGTGTCGCGTGGACGGGACAAGCTGCTGTCGTAGCTTTTTTTATTGTTGTCCGCTTGATATACGGAAATGTTTTATGAGCGGACTGCACTTTTTTGACTGTCGCCATAGATATATGGTATAGATATGGACACACAGACAAAAAAGCGTCGGGATTGTAGAACTTGACTGGGAATTGAAATTAATTTGCTGCCAGAAGAACCGGTGGGAGGGGATTTGTATTGCACATTGCATAATTACCAATGACAAAAACACACACAATCTTTCTCTTTGAATTGTATGTAATTTTTTTCCAGCGAGAGAAAAACAGGATTTTGTCCAATTAAGGCAAACATAAATTCTCAGTTCTTGAATGATAGTATGTGGTGTGGCGTATGTTTACAAAGTTTCACTTACAAAGCCGATTTGTATGTTTTTCCTTTATAATCCGTAACGAAGCGTCGAGCTTTGTCAATGAAACGCTCTCTGATGTCTGCCTTTAGTCAGATATGGAAAAACTGGAGCATGCAACGTTTCGATTTGGGCTTCTTTTTGGTCATACCACTCGTGTGTATACTTCAGTGCACATGGGCAAGGTCATCAGCATTGGATGGGTGGGTTGTACATATGTAACTCATTGGTTATGGGTGTGTGTGGAGCCAATGGAGCATTACGGTTAGAGCTGAGCAGCGGCGTTAGTTATAAAAACTAGTTTGGCCTACGCTGTAGGGTACCGTTTAAATAAATTATTGTTTTGGATAACAAAAAGTGGGGGCAGTGAAAGTCGTATTTATGGTGATAGAGCCTAAATAAATTTAGTTTGATTACAATCAAAAAGAAACCAAGTCTTTAGGTGAATGCCTTACGTTTTAGGGATTTTTAATTATTTTAGAAACAATTTTAAAAAAAACAATATATTATTTATTCAAGAGTCCTTCTATTTACGTAATGAAATTGAATAGATTTCGTAAAAGAACCCTTGAAAATATACATCTTATTCACATCAACTGTCCCGCCCTTCAGTATCATCATTCAATACACCATCAGTCAGCTTTTCGCTTGGGCTTTTTGGGGATTTGCTGACTGGCGCTCAAATGTCACGGCAGCCACTCGACAGAGAGTGATGCTTGAGTAGGGCTTTGAACCATTGACTTGCCACTTTGAATAGCAATCGACTAATCCCCCCACTCGATATTTGTCTTCTCCTTGCAGCCTGTGCGTTTCGTTTGTTCCACGCTTGTGACCCGTAGCCCACGTCCACTTTTGTGGCGTGTGCAATCCAAAAGCCGCCAAGACGACTTACTCGATAATGAAGATGAGCTCGCCCAGGATCATGCAGCAGAAGCGGACAAGCAAGTCCTCCAATTCGTCGCGGGTCTCGATGACCACCTCGACGGCGGAGGAGAATCTCCTGGAGTCGAAGCTCTTCAGCTGGATGCGTCTATTCCGCTTCGCCTCGCTGCTCTGCCGCGCCGAGTAACGGAGCTAGTTTATAAGATCGAGATCCTCCACATGAGATCTTCAGTACCCTCTCCACCCCCAAACAAAATGTTAAGAGAAATCCATATAACAGATACTCGAACTAGTTGCCGCTTTTCAGTCAAATTTTCCTATATATAATGAGAGACACCAACAGAAACACCAAGCTAATGTCACCTTAACTTTTCCAGCAATGTAGAGAATAAGTATTACACAATGAGTAAACAAGAATACACCTCCTATCAGAAATACCATGTTAAGTTTAAGCTGAAAAGCAAAGTACATATATCAAATCCAAGGAATACAATGTTTAATTTAAGCTCCTTATTGGGAAATCGAAAACAAGTTTCGTTCAGTTAGCTCTTCACAATTAAGTCAATTTTTAGTGTAAATTCCGTAGCAACGGAATTTCTCGCGCCTTTCGTACCTTTTGTATTGTAATAAGTGAAAATAAAAACAAATGAGACACTTACAAATTGCAAACTACAAGCAAATAAATATTTAATCATAATCCACTTATTGCGTTTATTCGGGTTTATTAGTGCTTAAGTTTTGAGAACAGCCGACTACAACACGAGGTATATATATTTTTGTAATTACAACACTGTTTTGCGTGTCACAAACAAATAAAACATGAAAGCAAACATCCAGCTATTAAATAGATAAATATATTAACTAAAGATGCGAACAAATGCAGTACTAAACAATACCAATACAATGTATACATGTAGAGGAATATATTTACACATCAACTTCAAATCAGAGTCTATGCAAATGCGCTTATCCAACAAATATTTAACACTGATTCACAATAGTTATCCAAGCCCAGCAATATGAGAAGTGCATTTAACCCAAAGAAGTTGCCAAACGACAGCAATTGTTGTTAACACATTAGCAAAACTTGCAAAAACACAATAGTATCTTAATTTCTGTACAACCTCAGAATGTAATAAACATATAACGATAAATAAAACTACGACAACAAAGAACAAATACAGTTATCAGAGATTTTCGAAATTCAAAAATACTTATTAATTAGTTAGTAAGCCAGAATGCAACCCTGCAACATGAAAATTACAGTAATAACGGTAAATGCCAAATCAATGAGAAAACTGTACTAGAACATAGCAATATCACTGCAGCAGATAATTGTTGATAAAAATGCAATAAATCGATATCGATCAATAAATAAAGTCTTTAAGCTGTTGAGTGTTCATTTAGTTTGCGTTTTGGTTTTAACTTGGTTTGGGGAAAAAATACACAAAATGCTGTTATCAAAGCTAAAATATAAAATTTTCATGTAAAACTTTTGAATAAAATTATTTTTATTTCATGAAAAATGTTTTTGTTCTAACGTTGTTGTCATTTGAATTGTACTAAATGTTCGCGGTCTAAAGTTTAAATTATCGAGTAGTCGATAAATTTCGGTGGAGCTACATATGATTTTGCGCTTAACAGCACCATTACATATCACAGGGTGACTAGAGTAATTACATTATGGATAATGGATAAAATTAAAGACATGCAGACGAAGAATCTACAAGAAAGTTAAAAACGAATTGTCTTGATATTGCGAATATATTTAACCACCAATTTATTAAGAATCCTATGGATGATGCCACGTATCGTCAGAAATTTCATAGGAAGTATCTTCAATGCGTTGAAATAATTCCGCATTATCTACAAGTGGGAGGGTGACCTCCGCAAAGAAACCTCATACGTAAGGGCTTCTTAATTATTCGTCATGACCACGTAAGAACGTGCATTTCATTACTTGTTAAGGTTGCCCAAAGTTAATTTTTGATTTTAGAGCAATGAAAGATGTATGTCGAGTTTGTCTGGAAAACTACGAGAGCATGATCAATATATTCGAAGGAACAGAAGGATGCGGGCTATCCATTCCAGAGATGATTGCCCAGTGGTCTGGTCATCAAGTTGAGAAAGGTGATTTGCTTCCGGAAAACATTTGCCTTACTTGCCTAGAAGACGCTCTTATTTCCTTCCAAATTAAAAAGCCTAACGAAATTGACCACCAGATCGTATGCAAAATTCAAAAATTTCAGAGTATCCAGGAGGATAAAATATCGGACTTTGAAAGTCAGAAATCAAGCGACAGCAGAGAATTGAAGTATGAAATTGAAGATGTGACATTTGGAGAACCTGTACAGTTCTACATATTCGAGGATGAGATATCAGTCAGTGATTCTGACCAATCAAACTGCCATATTAAAAAGAAAAATAATGGAGACATGCCAGTCGATCAAATAGACCGAATCCATAGCAATAATCAAAACGAAGAAATGGGAGAGATATTATCCAGTGATAGTGCACAATCCATATCCAATACTGAAAATTTTGACAATGCTTATTACGACCGTAATAACGATGAGAATCTGAGTAACAATCAACTTGCTCTGATATGTTCTTATTGTCCGACGTCTTTTTCCCAAAGTGGGAGTCTTCAAGCTCATATGCTAAATAATCACCCAGAGCACATTGAAACATTGCCGGCAAAACGGATTTATAAGTGTTCCTACTGTCCAAAGATATGTTTAAAACCATCTTCTCTACGGTCTCACGTACTAATTCATACAAATGAGAAACTTTATAAATGTAAGCTTTGCAACAATTCATTTTTTTCCAAGTCCCGTTTAAAAGTGCACGAAAAGATTCACACTGGAGAACGACCGTATAAGTGTCCCCATTGTCCAAAGTATTTTCCATGTAATTCTGCACTCAACCGACATGTCCAAATACATAACGAAAACCGACCGTATAAATGCAATCAATGCCCAAAGTGTTTTAAGTACATACATCTTCTTAATGTCCACCTCAAAACTCACATGATAGGGGCGACGTACAAGTGCTCTTTTTGCCCTAAAACTTTTAGCCAACTTTCGGATACTAAGCGGCACATGGAAAGCGCCCATAAAGAGTTACAGACTTTTCAGTGCCTGCATTGCGAAAAGATATATACAAAAAAGAAACAATTAACCAGACACATCCAAACTCACATAGGGGAAAAATTGTTTAAATGTGACGTTTGTTCAAAATCTTTTAAGTGTAAATCTTATGTATGGAAACATATGAGTGTTCACATGGAGAAGAGGCCTTATAAATGCGATATTTGCAATAAGTCTTTTAAGCGATCAAGTCATCTCAAACGACACCACCAGCTTCACAACGAAGAAAGACCATTTAAATGTGATTATTGTCCAAAGACATTTAAACATAAAGATAATGCTACGGTTCACATCCGTATTCACACGGGAGAACTTCCTTATACGTGTTCCTATTGCCAAAAGGGCTTTAAGCAACGCACCCAACTTGAACGACACATTCGGACTCACACAGGAGAGAAATTTAAGTGCGATTATTGCCCAAAGACCTATATAGATCACTCATCGATTACATCGCACTTACGGACTCATACAGGGGAACGACCATATCAATGCACCCACTGCTCCAAGTCTTTTTCGCGAACATCCTCTCTACAAGCACACATCCGTAGTCATACAAGAAAATTGGAAACTGAAGCTATTGTGTAAAACACAAACCAAAGTTATTATACTATAAAAGACCTATTAGTTTATGACTGTCACTAGTTTACGAATTATGTTTTTTAAATGAGTTGAAACATTCCATATATCTAAAATAAAATGTAAGAATTTGGTTATTAATATTGTGAATAGCTAAATAATAAATAAATTAATGATCTATCAAAAAATCCCATCGAAAAAATATAAATACTTCAATTTTGATATGTACTAATATAAATCTATTTAAAATAGTTATGTTTTATATAGATAGATTAACAATTAACAATTCTGCTAACTTGATCAGTTAATTAATTTCAAATTATTTCGATAACAGTTCGATAGCACGTATGTTAATGGTGTTTACAGTGAATACCTTGACACAGGGTGATCAATGTACTTACTGAAAAAAAAACAATAGAAACATTATTTTGTGTTAAGCGGAAAGATAATTTAATAATACTTAAGCGGTATAGTGTTTATTTGATTATTAGTTGGTGCTTATTAAAGCGGGACCTTCTCGTTTGCAGGGCAATGGAAGATGTATGCCGGGTTTGCCTGGAACTCCACGATGACATGGTCAATATATTTGAAGAGACGGAAGAATTGGGGCCTTCCATTCCGGATATGATTGCCGAGTGGTCTGGTCATAAAGTTGAGAAAGGCGACTCTCTTCCGGAAAACATTTGTCCATCATGCCTAGAAGACGCAAAAAACGTATTCGAATTGCAGGAGGTATCCGAGATTGGCTACAAATACTTATGCCAAGTGAAAGAGGAAAGCATCGAGGAGGATTTACTAAACGATGAATTCGGCATTATATCGAGCAGTGCGAGTGAAGGATCAAGGTCGTTTCAAGAGTTTAATTGCCAAGAGAAACTGGATTCAAATGAAGAAAACTTTCATAACCAAATTGGTTACCCGTTCGAGGATAAGATAACACTCAGTGAGACCGATCAATCCGATTCCCACATCAAAGACGATAAAGAGAATGAGTTATTTGTCAGGGAAACTAATAAAATCGATTCTCATATTTCAGAAGAAAAGGTCAGTTATATGTCAGTGGGTGAAATTAAGCCCGATTGTCAAAATCAAGAAATTAAAGACGTTGTGTCCAATATTAAGGAGGATGATGATAAGGATCATTGTAGACCGAAATCCTTTCTATCGCATGTTACTTCTACTCAAAATGTTGATCGACCTCACAAGTGTTCGATCTGTATGAAATCTTTTGCACGATATTGTAGTTTTAAAAATCACCTTACGACTCACGAGAACAATCAAAAAAATGAGTGCGACTCTACTTCAGATTTTACAATTAAAGCACCAACATACAAAGGAAAGCGATCCCTCAAATCGGAATTTATTGGGAATAATGCTTTCCCTAAGGTAGAAGAGACCATTCCGATAATGCCTCTTCTAGACCAATATAGCGCGGATAAAGCAGTATTTCAGTGTAGTTACTGCCTGAAGAATTTTTTATCTAGCAGTTCTTTAAGGATGCACATCCGTGTTCATACTGGTGAACGGCCGTATAAATGTGACCAATGTCCGAATGCTTTTAAGCAACACATCGACCTTAGGCGACACATTTTGACTCACACAAAGGAAAAACCAGTAAAGTGCAAGTTTTGTGAAAAGTCTTTTACACATCATAGTTCACTTAAGTTCCACATGCGTCATCACCCGGAAAAAAAAAACCAATGTCATTTTTGTCAAAAATTCTTTCTGCACTCCACTTCATTAAAAATACACTTACGTGTTCATACTGGTGAACGGCCGTATAAATGCGATCGATGCCCCAATGCTTTTAAGCAAAATATCGATCTTAAGCGACACATTATGACACACACAAACGAGCTTCCAATGAAATGTACAAATTGCGACTTAACCTTTCGACATCATAGTTCCTTAAAATTCCACATGCGAAAACATGACGGAGAAAAATTTAAATGCCTTCTTTGCCCAAAAACTTTTAGGAGATTTGTCGATCTTAAGCACCACAGATCGACTCACCTTAAAAATCGATCGGGAAAGAAAAAACCTAGGCGAACGTATACAATGTGATCATTGCTTAAGTTCTTTTACAGACCCTAATAGTCTTAGGGGTCATATGCGTATTCACACGGGAGAACGTCCTTATAAATGTACCCACTGTGAGATGGCTTTTATCTGCTCGGCCGACCTTAGGCGACATACTTCCAAGCACACGGGAGAAAAACCGTATAAATGTGATAAGTGCCCAAAGGCATTTGTGGATTCTAGAACTCTTAAGGCGCATACCCGAATTCACACGAGTACATGACATTACACAATTGTAAATCAACGGCAAAGATTTCATTTCCGGGCTTACACTACTCATACTTTTACTTAAAAAGAGATTTTATAATATGTTTTATGTACAGAACCTTCTGAGCTGTCCGGTGTATAGATAAGACTATATATATTTATTAGTTTTGTTATATGAATTAGGATACCACATATGAACCCCAGCACAAATATCCAATTATTTTAAAGAACAATTTTTAAAATGTTACCTACAACTCTTGTTTATGTGGTTAAATGAATTCTTTTCGTTTTTAATGTCGTCGGAAAATTATATTGCCATTTTTGTAGGGTGTAGCATAGAGTGACGTATATCTCTAAAAAACCCTAAATAGTTTTTAATAAAACTTTTTATAACTTGTATACTTTCGAAAATAAAACCTTACGTTTAACAATAAAGACAAACTCAAACTTTTATTCAAAATCTTCTTAGATTTATTTTTCAATAAAGCTTTCAATACTCAACTTTCGTTTTAAAATTCAACAAAATAAAATCGTAGGAGAGCCCGCTTAACAAAATTAAAAATAAGTTAGCACATGGAGAAGTTTAGTTAAATATAATTAAAGGTGATGCATGAGTTAAACAAAAATAACTCTAACAATAGTTAAGAGAGTTCTAAAGGTCAAAAAACTTATATAAGCTAAGGCACCGAATTGGTTGCAATCGCAATGGGCCATGTGGTGGGTCCCTTAAGCACAATATCCTCCAGAGCATTCTTGATCTTGATGAAGCGTCGCTTGAATTCTAAACCGCAGCCCTTTGACAGCCGGAAGTCCACAAGAATCTTTCCATCCATTTCGATGATGTGGGCTTTGAAAACCAATCGCAGCTTATTCCGATCAACGGTGGAAACGGTTACCACTCCATCTTCACCGACTTTGCACGTATAGCCACCCAGTCTTTCGATGGTTCCCACCAAACGCTTGATAGTGTCGTCCCATCGCGTGGTTACAAAGAATCTGGTCATTCTCCTCACTAACCTCTGGAAATAGTTCTGCGAGGCGTTCTGCGTTTGGTTCATTTGCGTAGCCAACAGGAGATCGTCGAGCAGTGCTGGCTGGGAGAAGGAGTAACTGAGCCGTGCCTCCTGAGCCAAAGCCTGTCGATCACCGTTATCATCTTTGGACCTTCCGCTGCCTAGTCTCATATTAAAGTCATCATCACTACGCATGGTTGGCATAGGCTGAGAGCAATAGTTTCGGGAGATGGAGTCATCCAGGCCATTGCTCAAATGGGCACTCGACTGCAGACGCTGACGCTTAGCCTTTGGCGAGCAAATCTCCAGGGCAGCTGCTGAGTCTACCAGGTCATAGGAACGTTCTGTGGAAATAAAAAAAATATCATTAGAACTTGAATTTAAGATTAATTATTAAAAGTTATTACATTTTATATATTTATGTTATTAATAAAATACAAAAATCATAAACACAAAGAGCAACTCAAGAATAACGCAAAAACCATTTGGTTTTTGGTAATAAAGCTCTATGGAAATTAAAAACAACCATACAGCTAAAATCACCAAAGAACAAATAATATGCAAACAAAAAGGCAACTTAAAAGTAAATTAATAACTTTTTTTAATAAGCAGCACTTCAGTTATTTTTGATGATTGATCTACCAAAGCCAATGCTTTGGTAATCTAGCTTTATGAAGTAGTTTAAATCTATCATACAGCTAAAGCGCCAAAGCAACGGCAGAGCAGTTTCTCTTTTAATCACTTGTTGATATGTAAATTCACTTTATTTGTAGAAGATTGCCTCACTAGCAGCACAGGCACAGAGCGACTCCCAAATTGTCAAAATCATTGAGAGTCACTAAGTACCTGAGCCATTAAGTGGACTTGAAAAATAGTCACTTGCACATTGATCCATTTGTACTTTATATACATATATACATATATTCTTACCATTATCTGCAAATTGCATGTTGCACCATTTGTGATCCAGGGTTTTCTCCAGAGTCAAACGTGTGCCAGGACTTGTGGCCAACAGTTTGCGAAGCAGTGATATAGCCAATGTGTCCAGTTTGCTCCAAGGAGTCTGCAATTGCCAGTGATCATTGTCCTTCCAGTTGATAAACTCTGTGCAATTGATGGAAGGCTGATCCCAGGGCAATTCTAAAAACGAAAAAAATATATTTATTAATAAATATAAAACAAAGGTAAAAATAATAAAAACACATGAACAAATTGACTTGGCAAGCAGATGAAATTTGAATATCATTCCTGTATTTGTGGCTGTTGTTGTTTCTGGTGCGTTGCTTAAGCTATTTAAGCTGGAGCTTTGGTATAAAAGCTTTAGATGATATACAATGTGCGTGAAACAATCTACAGCTAGAATACCAAAGAAACAGCAAAAATGATAAATAGTGCAAGAGGAGAAATGTGAGCGCATAAAACCGAAAAAATGGGCTGAAAGATAATGCATGTGACTGATATTAATTCCGTTAAATCGATGTTGTTTTTAACATTAATTCACTTTTTTTTTTAATCGTTTGTCATGAAAGTGCACAAAAATCACGCAAAATAACAAAAAATTAATTAGCTTAAAAGGTTGCATTTGAATAGAGCACAAGTAAAGACAAGTTTTTTTCCGGGAATTTCACTTACCGCCAGCCAACATAGTAACCAGTATAACGCCACATGACCAGAGATCAGCAGGCTGGGCATGATATGCCTTTAGGAGAACCTCCGGTGCTACATACGGCAAGGTGCCGCAACGTTTGTCCAGCAGTCGCTCCTTGCCCTTGCACCTGCTCCATGGTAATGCAGAAATCACAAACAGATGGCAGATAAACGAAAAGTGCAGATGAAAAGGGGAAATAGAAGATAAGGAAGAGAGAATTAGAATTAGTTCGGACTTTAGTCCGATATTACACATGAAAAAATGTGAAGTACTATTATAAACAAAGATAAAAAAATAACTAAAATGAAAAGTACTCTGTTGACAATTTGATTCTTGAAAGAAACTTATTATTTTTTTAAAATCACCCCTTTGTGATACCAAACTGTTTATAAAAAAATCGCTGCACTAAGCTAAAGCCAAAAAATCGAATGACCAGCCAATATAAAAGACATAAGCTCAGGTTGCGCAGTGTAAACAAATAAGCTTTACAGCGCTGAATTGATCATTATATAGATGAAACTTATAATTGCTGACTATTTTTTTGCTCAACTATTTTAAACTCACTAATGCTGGCTAACTATTTAAATGAGTTTTCGCTTAGTTGCAAACTAAAACCACCAGGGGCATGTTTAGTTTGGCTGTTTGTGCCGTCAGCGCTTTCAATTAACTATTCTCCTTGTTGGTCAGTTTTGTGCTATGAAAAAAACTTTCGCCCACCGGTTAGCCAGCGTTAATGGATTTTATAAATTTTCGCGTAGTTTCGATTTAATTTCAAGTATTCGTATGAGTTCTAAATTGCCTGCAGTTATCTTCTACAGCAGATGGTAAGCAAGGGTACACATTTGCTAATTTAATAAACTGAAATCAATACTTTTACCGGATCTAAAGATATTAAATAATGCTGTACCTAATACCTGAACATGGTGGCCATTCCAAAGTCCGATATTTTCACATTGTCGTGCTCATCGAGTAGGAGATTTTCCGGCTTCAGATCCCGATGGGCAATCCCACGCTGATGCAGATAGTTGAGTCCGGACAAGAGCTGTGTGAAATATCTTTGTGCCTCATGCTGTGGCATTCCCACATCGGGCTCTGCAAAACAATAAATAAACAAACGAAAATAAAGTTTAAAAACTCGCTTATTGCATATGAAGGCAGTTAGCGGATGTCAATGGGCAGATCCAAATAAAAAAACATTTCACGGAAATTGAATTAAAATTTTCAACAATTTTTGCAATGCAATGCAATTCATATTCCGAATATAACCGAACTCTTTCTGTAGTTATGTGTTTGTATTTTCATTATGGATATTTTCCAGCGAAATTGAACGCCTGGAAAATGGGGAAAATGTGCAGCGGAGCAATACCTCACACAGGGCAGGTGGAAAAACAAATGTAATGCATTCTGATGTGCGTGTGTGTAAAGGATTTATGGGCTTAGCCGGCTGCAGGACCTTCCATGGAACAACAAAAAACAGGATAAGACAGCCACAATGCAATCAACAGTTTTATGAAATTTTAATCAAGGCCCGGATGCAAACAATGCCAAAATGCTTGTTTAGTTTTAATGTTTACCTGTTGGTTTTTGAAGTAAAACTATCACAGGCAACTTAGCTTTTAGTTTTCTGTCTTCAAGGCTTACTCTCTAATAGTAATAAAATCCTCTAGACGTTGGTATAGCTATACATTAGCTAATAGCCTTTTACTTTGAAAACATTAAATGTTACATTTTAGATTTAAACCTCAAAGTTTTGCCAACTTGTTAGCCACTTTTGAGTAAAAGGGGCACTCGGAAGTGCACTGAAATAATCGGAGGGGAGATGCAAACGGAAGGAGAAACAAAGGACTATACAAAGGGTAGGAGGTTATCACCTGGGGTTACCAATGCTAGACAGATTGTATTTCCCTTGCCTTTCACCTGATTGACTGTCAAAGGCAGCCGCATCCTGCAGTTGAGATCAAACATCATCATCTCATTTCCCCCATCCATCCGCCTCTTTTCGATTTTACTTTTGACCCTCCTTGTTTCTCCTCTTGACTCTTTCATTTTGTTGGAGGAGCGACTGGTGAAAGCGACTGGGAAATGGCTGAATTATGTTTAGAAATTTGCATCGACTTGATGAAATATTGTATATCGCTTGAATGGATTTTGTAGTTCATGAGTAAAACGTTTATGCTTAAATATTGTATTTTAAGACTACAAAAACACAAATCATTTGAATGAATAGCACAATTGCAATCGAGTGAAAATCCCTAGAGAATCCTTGAAAAGAATTACCCCCAAGAATGCTCATGAAATCCCTTCCAATTTTAATTGCTTTTTCTTTCTAACCAATTTAAAATGAAAGTGCAAACAATAGGCGAGTAAAATCTATTAAGTAATCATTTTTCAACCAAAAGAAAATCAATTTCTATCGAATTTTCACGTAGTTCTCTTTTTATCAATTTTTCCTTTTCTTTGGGTCTTACTCTGGCTTCTTGTCACTCTCAATTTGTAATACCTTAAATGTTGATTGTGCAGGAGATAAAGTTGGATGTAGGTATGCCACGCCCACCTCTCCATAAGCCCAGCCCCCATCTGTCGGTCCTCATTCCGTGTGCCACATTGTTTGCCATTCATTTATCATGTGGCATGTTGCTGGTTGGCGCCATTTGCACAACTCTTTTGCAATGGGTAAAATGAAATGGAAGCGAGAGCTTCATGCACCAAGGAAAAAGGTATTTTGAGTTTAATATTATATTAAAATTATTAAACAAATACATTTCGTACAATGATAAACCTGAAGCAGAATAGTGAAATGTAATAATCCCTTTAAAGGGAGTCAAATTTCACATCTCTGATGTTTTTCTCTCAGTATCTACCTGCGAAATGATATCTGTTTAAGTATGAAACAAAATATTGACTGACTTTAAGCTTGAGTACCGCAAATAAAAAACGGTGAGATGGAAAAGTATACATTTGCATAAATGGAGCCGAGAAAATAAGATGGAAGCAATAAAATTGGCGAATGTCAGTAACATTTTAGCATAATTAATTGCATTTCACGAAGTGGGAGAAAAGTATTCCCGGCCCAACCAATGAGGAATTATGCAGCAAAGCAATGGAAATGAGGGAAATTACTCGAAAATTTCATTTGTAATTGAAGCATAATTTATATCGAATCCCCTTCTCAGATTGAGTGAATGGCCAAATAGGTTGGGAATCTATGTATATGCCGCCCCCTCTGATATTCCACCTACTTTTCAACCCGCCATTGTGCGTATAAGCTTAATGAATGCATTTCTGTGCAAACAGACAATTAAACTCACACAGACGCTGGCAGTCGAGGACATCTGGTTGCGTGTGTGAATCTCCATTATGTTTCATTTGCATATTGAACCTATTTATGGAAAGCCATTCATTGCACTCTGCTGTGTCTCTCTCGCTCTGCCCATGAGTTTCTCCTTCTTTTCCCAAACCAATTTTGTATACCAGCTGGGAAAAAGGATGTTTTGTTGCCTACCCATCAGGCGCTAGTCCACTAAATCCGAAAGCAGAGATGCTACCCTGATATCTGATGGTTGTGTGATTTTCTGTGTGTGCGTTGGAACATATTGGCCGTGTCAAAATTTAACTATCAAAGAAAGTTAGCATAAAGATTTTTTATCTACATTTCGTGTCATAATGTTAAAACGTTTGGAAATGTCTTTGTTACATCAGAGTGAACCACTAGTTATTACAAATTACTCCGAAATAAGAAAGGTAATAATTTTATATTGCTCTTAATTTATAGTTAATATATAACTCTCTGTTTACTATATCGACCTTTACTGCTGTCATAATAATATAGTAAATCAAAAACCATTTATAAACTGCAAATAAACTGACAGCGTTTTATCTATGCAGGAAACTTAAATTTATGGCTGAAAATAAATTTGACAGCAAGGTGTTAATTAAAATGAATGATAACTTCAAAATAAATATACTTAATAGACTTTATATACTTTATGCAATGAAAACTAATATATTTATAACAAATTGTAAAATAAAAACTTCACATAATAATTAGAATGCCCATCACTCAGAATTAGCAACATCTCTAGATATCATTAAAAATGGCTTAGCAACCGGGGACTAAATATGGCTGCCACATTGATTATTACACTAGCTCCCCATGTAACATCACCCCTGCTGAGAGAGGGCAAAGCAAAATGATGATGATGATGGTGATTGGGAATAGGCGAAATCGAGGGAGGACCAGGATGAGGTGGCAATCAATGCGAGGACGCCACTTCCATTAGGGGCAATCTTGCTCTCTCTCAGTTTCCATACTTGCTCTTCTGCTGACCTTTTGCCAAGCTGTTAATATTTATGAAAATGCCACGAGCTTGGCACCTACTGTCCATCTCTCCCCGTTTTTCCATTTCCCCGCCCGCGTACATTTGGCAAATTGTCATTGCAAAAGGGACAGAAAGCTGGCGTAATCAAGATCTGTATCTTGTCAGTCTGATTTGTCGCTCCTGCTGCTGTTGCTGTTGGTGATGGGATATGTGGGTGTGTTTCATTTCGAATCACTGGATGTGGCAGTGTGGCAGGACGAACTTCAAGTTGCACCCACAAAAAGTACAACAAAACTATCGTCACACACAGACACAACCGCTGTCAGTCGGTTTGTTTGCCCAGTCTGCCTGTGCTCGCGTCGCATATTGGCATATTTGCGCCGTCTACCCGACGTCTATATGACTATGTGGCATCTGTGCCAAACCTCCGACTCTTCCAATATTATTTCCAACTTGGTTGAGTGTCGGATATGGCATGCCAGGACGGAGGCAGGAATAATAATGAACCATAAACAAGAGCAATCTTATCAAATCATATTGAGAATAAAAAGTTGATAAACGAAGTGATTTCTCAAGAATTTTCTATCTACACCTGCACAAGTTTTTTATTAAGATATCGTTATTGTTCTTCAAGTATAAAGTACTTTTCTCTTACTGCTTGCCTATATCATTATTCTAACTATTTCAAAACACACTTTGAGGGATAATTTCATTTATTGGATTCTTGTGGTCATAGTGGCCAAGTTTCATCCCAGATTCTGGATTATGGCAAGTTGAGTGGCCACAAAACTTTAAGTAGCTCCTTCAAGAGGCTTTTGCTTTGATAAAAAGCTCGGTTGGTGGTGACTCGGAATGCAATTGATGCTGCTGGCAAATTGTTTGCGATGAGGGACAGCTTAGTTCAGTTGGCCATAGGGTGAAGTAATATTTAGTATTATTATTTACTGAAGAAAAACCCCTAAGATGTTAATTAATAAAATGCTCCTATTTTTAACAGTAAATAGTTGAATGAGGCCCGTTTTAGTAAGTACAAAAAAAGTATTGAAAAGTATAACCGAGTAGAAATAGTTTTAAAACTTATTTGCTTAAAATATTTTATATTAGATATTATTTGCAAAAATTCATTTACTTCCTAAAATATATGGCAAACATAAATTAAACCCAAACTTACCGATTCGATCAAACAACTCTCCGCCGGCGGCATATTCCAGGAAAATGTACTCCACGGTGCCTTGCGAACGCTTGCCAAAAAAACGTAGGATATGGGTATCCTGGAGCATCTTTTGTATGCAAACCTCTTTTCGCACCGAGTTCGCAGCATCCGGATGCTTCTTTAGATCAACCATTTTCATGGCCACTGCCTCTCCAGTCTGTCGGTTGATTAGCAGCTTTACCCTGCATTAACATAACGGATATAGTCGGTGGGATTAGTAAGTGATATATGACGGCTAGAGGACGAACTGCAGTTGCAACGTTGGTGTCTGTGTATCGACTGCTCTCCGTCCGGGTGCATTGAGTGCGCCGTATGACGTCCGTCTGTCGTTAGTGGTACTCCCGTATTCCTCGAACTTCCCGGACCCGGACACCGGGGACATGCGCACTAAGGATCCCCTTAAAAAGCGAGGGGGACGCACAGCGGGTGCTTTCGGGATGAATGTATACAGCGAATACGCCGGAAAAGTGCGTTCAGCTAGTATTTTTTGCTCTGCAGCATTTCCGGTTTATTGACTTCAACACACACAGATGCAAAACCAAGCTCATGGACTTGCAAATTTTGTCTTAAAACAAGGATCAAGTACCTCGCAGTATGATATAGACTTTAATTAAGCTTAATTGGATATCACCGAATGTAATTGATTATGGTGCCAAATATCTACTTTAATAAATTTAACCAAAATAGATACCTACAGTTAAGTCTGTTCGGTACCTGCGATTCTAATAAAAGCTATTCAAATATTAACTATTTTTCACAAATATGATGGAATTTGTAATCAATTTGAACTCACTCGCCGTAGGCACCTTCGCCCAGAGTTTGGGCCAAAGTCCAACCCTCGACAAATTCCCTCGTGGCCGCAGGGCCTGTTCCCGATTCCGTTATCGTTGCCGCCATTGTGTCCTGTTTTATTTTTCTTCCTCCCAACAGAGAAACCACGCTAATAGTTATAGCTCAGTTTTGTTTTGCTGCGGTGGCTAGTGTTGATAGTTTAATTTCCGGTTGGCAGTATCCTGTATCCTTGTTGTATCCTTGCCGCCATGTGCGTGGCGTTGTCCTTGTCATCTGGTGTCGAATTCTCGCTTCGCTTTCGCCACCTCGTGCATATCTAAAAATAAAAAAAAGCGGAAAATTAAATATAGGGATTACTGGAAGGTTAACAAATATTAAGCAAATGGGGAAGAGGGGGGAATTTACAGACAACAATAACAAAGAAATGGCTGAAACTTTTCTAATTTGTGTTTCACAATTCCACAACGTTCCGCGGTGTCATTCACAGTTAGCGCGCATACAAATGCCAAACGAAAAGCACATGGAGTTGCTGAATTTTGAAGTTTAGCGGTGTAGAGAAGCCAGAGAGAAGTAAAGAGAGAAGCAGAGCGGCAATCGTCAACTACTTCTTCTTGCCTCTTCGCAGTGACGCCGTTAATATTTCATCCTTTGGCATGGTCATGGTTCGTTCGTTCGAAACTTCGGTTATCCTTTCGGCTGTTTAATGGCGAATTTGTTGTTTTGCGCAGCCGCTTTGTCGCTCTTGCGGTGAAGAAAAAAATAACAAACACGACTAGAGCAATTGAAGCGAAGAACGTGAAGTTGAGTGAAGAACGGTGAATAGTACTCGTTTTCGAGTCGAAAAGGAAGCACAGTGGGTGCAGAAGGTCATCAACGCTAATATCGTCTTGTTAAAAAAAGGGAATGGGAATGCTATGCTTTATGATGAAGGTAATAAATATCAGAATTCTAAATTTTTTTAATTTGAATCATGTCAAGGGAATGGAAAATATACATAAATAAGAAATGTGTTTAAGTACCAGTCAATTTAAAGGAATTGCAAAATTTTTTAATAAAGTCTCATTTTTCCCACTGTACTGTTTTTAGTTGTTGTACATTTTGCGTAGGTATGTACCCTATGCTTGCAATTACACTGTGTGGGTGGATATGGTATTTCACAAGAGAAGTAGAGCGGGGAAAAGAGATGAGAGAGCGTCCTTCCGTAGAATCTTTCCTCTTTCTACTTGCCTCCCGTAAATTTGCGAATTTTTGTTGTCTCTTTTCTTCTCTCTCTAAAAAGCTCACCCATTGGAAAACCCACTCTAGCTCTGTTAGCCCCCTCACAAACTCCATCTCTTGCGAAAATATGACGTAGTCGTTATGCTTGACTAGTCCTAATTTAATGACCTCTGCTGTTGCTCTCTGAGCTTGCGCTTCACAGAAAGAGAGTGAGAGAGAGAGAGCCGAAAACATAAAGAGGATGCTGTTGCTTTTTCTTGTTCAACAGGCCACTATTAACATTTTTATGCGTATGTATTGTGTTTGTACATTCAACAGAGTGGAATATTTTCCTTCTCATTCGCATGGGTGTGTGTATTTGAGGCCTTCCTTTCGCTTACTTTTTTTCCTTTTGTCTATTTTTAGGTGTTCGCCATCCGAGGAGTTTCCTGGTGATACTTTTTTACCCCGTAAAAATGTTTAAATAATTGAAAAGTTTCAAGAAAAGTTTTTTCCTTTGCAATGAGCTTCGATTGTCATGCAAATTGAATTGCGGGATTATGATAAGATAGGGGATGGATAACTGGTGTTAGCTTTTCTGCTCATGGTTTCCTAAATTATTATCCCTTTTTATACCTTTTTACACAGAAAATAAAAATGCAAGTCAAATTCTTTTAACGATTGAATGCAAGTATACTGGATATTTTTTGTGAAATGAATAATTTCTTTAAAAATTTGTACTTTTTCTTACAGTTACACTTCGTGTTATCACCTGCCCTTTAGACCTTTGATAATTTTTAAGAAGAAACAGAAAATACCTTCTCTTAATTATTCACACAAATTTAAACCCTTTTCGCCTTTTTGTGACATAATAAAAGATAAAGGTAGATGGGTGAGGACTGGGAGATAAAGAATAACATGTGTTACACTGCTTAAGCTTCTACTAGAAAACTTGTTTAAAAATAATGGCGGAAGGGTGGTAGCACGGAAAAGGGGGCGTGTCAAAGCACGTGTTGACAGCCCAAGGATAAAACCTCAAAAGTGACGGGCAGCCTAAAGGGAAGAGAAGGAAAAAGGCAAATGGAGGACAGATGATACCGGATGAGTAATGAAACTCCACTAAAAACTTTGACAAGTTTTCACAAAACTTTCCACAGAGGCATCAGAAAAAAGTTCAGCCAGAGATATCAAAGTTGGAAAAGTATGTTATGGACAATTTTCAAGAATATGGCCAAGTAGAAAGAGGGAACTGGACCCAAATTAGTTTCGAGAACCTTCTTAAGTTAAAGTTTAGTCAGTGGAAATCTTAAGGAAATACTTTAAGAAATGTGCAAAAAGTTTTGGTTCATTTTTATTCAACCAACCGTGTTTGCTTAATAAATTCCTAAAAAAAATATATATTACGTTTTTTCTAGAAGTTTTCTAAGAGCATTAATAACAGCAAACCTTAATATAATTTAATTTGTGAATATTAAAAACACATATTTTTAAAGTTAAAATCTAGGTCTATGTCAAAGGTTTAAGACATATCCCCAAGGGTTTAACCGGAATCATTAAAAAATTGTCACCTGTCAGGCAATGCTTTAAAAATGATGTGAACTTGCTAAGCAAAGAACCATAAATTTGTCTTGCCTTTCTTGGCGGTTTTTAGGTACCTTTTTTATCAGGAAAATAAATGACTAACGAAAACGAAATGAAAATCTTTTCTATTTTAAGCCAGTGCAGTCCGATCAGATAACTGCTTGTCCTATGAACACTTTTGATTAGCTTTCTGTAACGAAATCTGTGTAAATTTCTATGACTAAACAATTTGGTGAGAACAAAGTTCACAGGAGCGCAGGAAAGCAGAAAATTAAGAGTTGGGGGAATGGGCAACAGACAGCTGGCAAAGGATCTAAAAAACAGTATCCTAAACAAACAAGATCCAGAGTTAAAATCAAATAAAATTAAAGAGTCAAACGTAGCGCAGACACTGCAGACTTGAAAAGCTGTATAGATGGGGTTAAAGAGTGACGAGTGGGTGGCAAAGGGCAGTGGATGGAGATTGGAGCGTGTCTTTGTTGCCACACCAACACAATCTCACATTTAGTTACACTCCACCATTTTCATGGCTTGGTTGTGAAGGCTAAAAAGCGAGTCAAGTTGAAAAAATGCAACGAAAAAGAAAAAAAAAAGTGTGAGAAGCAAGTTTCGAGACTACACAGTGATTAAATCGATGCAAAATGTTAACTATCATACAAACATTTACTTACACAACATCAAAAATATAACGTTTTTAAACTGTTTTCAAAATTTTTAGTGAAGTTGTTAATAGAAGTTTTCTATAGAAGTCATCAACGAAATTATCAGTGTATTCCTGGACAAGTGGCTTTTTCGAATGAAAGAAGGGGACGAACTAAAAACTAGTCGCCTACTGAGTGGGCAAAGGAGTAGACTAAAAACCAGCAACGAGTAAAATTAATGACATTGTGGGTAAGTCACATCCAGTCTAGAGCATGGAGTTCAAGTCCGGCAAAAGAGTAAGTCAGACTATCTACGACCATGGTCAAGCCAGCTGGCTTTATTGGCTGATGCCACAAAACCCTGTAATGACGTTGGTTAATGGTTAGCCCAAGCCATTAGCTGCGATTTCTAACTGGGGATTCGGTTTCCTCTACTAAGCTAAGTTTTAAAATGCCTAGGAGTTTGGATGCCGAAAAAGGCAAGCCTGGATTAGAGGAAATGGACTGTAGTAAAAAAATTTATGAATGTTCTTTTATGATTTGAACGGAGAGTTCAGCTGCACGAGTTCGTTGTCTTTAGAATTTATGACACTTATGTGAGTTTTAACTAATTATTTTTGTTTTACAATTAAAATCATAATTTGTTTTTTTTTATATTATAGTTTTTATACTTTTAATGGGATAATCGAACATTTTGGTTAGCTTTTATCTAAATATGCGTGATTGGAGGTACCTAAGCTAGTTATAAAATCAAATATATCACATCCTAGCTTATTAAATTGTCTATATATTATAATTACCAATTATCTTGTATCCTTTCCAACAAATCTAAGTAAATGGCGTAATTCAATCATCATTATAGAGCATTATGATCTGTGTCGTTTACGATGAATGATTTAGTTCACTAATTGCAGCAAAGAATTCCCCGCTTTATTGATCACATGGGGATTATGCAGATGCCACAGGAGACTGACTTATTTTTTTTTTGTTCATTTTGCATTTTATCTACCGGTTACAGCCGCTGAAAAGACCATGGACCGAGACAAGACCGAAAGACTTGAAGACTCTCGGAGGCTCTTGGCAACAGCGGGGAAAATATAACTTCGTTACCAGGACAGAAAGCCGCTGAGGTGACTGTGTGTGCGTGCGTTCGTCGTATCTGTGCGGGGCCGATAAGGCTAAGCAAATACGAGTTTTGTAAAGTATTTCAATTTGAACATTCGCTTTTTTCCCTATCTTATTTTATGCGCCCTGTACATGAAGCACAAGCTGCAGGAGAAGAAGAAGCAGCAGCAGCTGAAGAAGAAGGAGGCTGCGAACAGGAAAGCCAGAAATGAAAAAAGATATTGCATGGCCATAAAAAAGAGCTACACAGATACACACTAATACACGGATACAGTGAGAGAAAAGGACGGGCCTAACAGGCTGGCAGACAGACGGACAAGTGGCCAGACCAGCGCTGCCAGTTTTTTCTTGCGATTTTTTTTATATTTATATATTTTTTGTTTGTTGCTTTTCTCCCTGCTCCGATGGTAACCTCGGGTTTTTCCTTTTTTTCGCGGGCGTTGCAAAAAAAAAATGAAGAGGGAAAAAAGACGCACAAGCCAAAGAGCGGCTGAAAAAATATAAATTAATTGCCGCATGTGCAATTTGTTGTGGTTTTTAAGTGCTTGATAGCTTGTTGATACACATAAGGTTGCAATTTTTAAATTTAAAAAGTTAATTTTGTTTTATTTTTGTTTAATTCAGTAAGCCGTTCTAATAAAAAAAAAACAAATAAGGAAACGAATTCAACAGTATTTATATAATAAATATTGTTTTTGGTTCTTTTGTTTTAATTTTTAATTAATCCCTATTATATTTTAAATGTGATCTTAAATCTCCATATGACTTAATAGCTTCTTCTAAATATTTAATTAATCGAGAAACTTTAGGTATAAGACTTCGTAAATTTCGTTGTATAAATAAGCTCTTTTTTATTTAAAGTTTAAGATAAAATGAATACCCTAATCTAGAATAATAGTTGTTGGGGACCTATTAATAATTCATTTGTTTACGATTTAAAGATTTTCTAAAATGTTTTAGATTTCTTACGTTTTTGTGGTGTTCCTTATTATTTGGCGATTAAGAGCGAAAGAACGCGGGATATTTGACTTGTTCTTAAATTTCATCATCTTGTTCTGGTACTGGGAGTTTGAGGAACTACCCTGAAATCGAAAGCCGAGAAACCGAAAAAAGAACCGAACCGTTTTGTCCTTTTTAGGATTTTGTCGAGAAAGTCACCACTGAAAAATGTCTTCCGTCCCTTTTCTTTGTAGTCTCCTGAATGGATGCGGTACACATACGCACACAGCCGTATCCGGTGTCCTGCGACCCGCGTTTTGTCTGTATCCCAATTTTAATGAAACAGCCTCGTGGTCCTTGCACTCCTCCCCCTGCCTCATTCGTCTCTCTCGATGTCCCGCTATTATCCTCATTTTCAATGCGATTGAAAAGCGCCGCCTACTACAGCAGTAGTAGTTGTACTACTATAAATTTACTATTACGAAGCGGCGTGGTTTTCCACTTAGATTATTTTTCTGTATCCTGTGAGCAGGCGTTTCGTCCTGTCTGAAAGTTGAAATCAAACTGCCGCCTGGGCTCGACTGAAAGCCTCGATAGACACTCAAAACTTCCAGAGAGGCCAGGAGAGACCGGGAGAGCCAGAGAGAGCTTACGCTTGCGCGCGCCAAAACCAAAAGGCAGGAAAGGGAAGGAGGGATTGGATGTCATGGGCTGTGGTACTAGACTCCTCTCGCTCTTCCTCTTTCTCGCAGAATCTGGCAAGTTGAACTTGCTCTCTCACTCAAGTTCAGCAACGCACAGTGGGGCAAAGCACCTATGCTCGATTTATTTAAAAAAAAAAGGCAGAAAGGTATTTCATTTGCAGATAATACAAATAATAAAAGTAACAATATATTCATCCAAAGCCTAACTACCTTACATCTTAATTTATATATTATATAAAAAAAACTTTCAAAGCGTTCACCCCACTGTGCTTGAAAAACTCATCCTTCTGTAGAAGCTTAAAGCCGGCTACCGGCGAGGGCTGTTGCTTCTTGTTGGTATTTCCCTCTCTGTTCACCACTGCACTGTGGGACAGGTCAAATCGTTTTGAATTATCAAAAAATTTAAAATTATGGAAAGGTTTATGCTTTATTTAAAAAAAAATGTTTAAAAATTTTGGGGTTTATTTTTTAAAGTATTAATAATAAAGGTTTATATCACCACTGTGCGCTGCTCACCTTTCGCCAGCTTCAGCTGACGTCGCTTTAGAAACTCACGCCGCAACTCGTGTGCGTAGGAATTGGAGTGGACCTTGTGAAAAAAGCTTTAGGCTCACTTCCAAACAAAGCGAAATTTGATATTTTGAGAGTAATTGGATTATGGTTAGGTAACAAAATTTAAGACGGATGATCGCGTTTGATACGAAAACAAAGTTAAAGTTTTGTGGTTGACCCATAATATTCCTCAAAATTCGCTTGGAACACAAGCATTCAGGTAAAACACAAAACTATAATGTTCAAGATTGTTACCCTATATAAAACAATAGATTTTTTATTTACAAGTGGCCCCAAAAAGAGAGCTACAAAATATTTACTTTTGATTTAGTTCGATTTATCTAATTTTTGACTTAAGCATATGGGTCCACCCCAAAAAAGTGCTTGCACATATTTATTTTAATAGCTTGCGCCATTTGTCGAACTGCTTCTTTATTTTTGATTTAACTTCGCCTTACGCTCATCGAATGCGTTCGCGACTCCAGACTCGTTTACATATAGGGGACTCATAGCTATATATGTATGTATGCATTTATGTACAAATAGCGTGTGGATGTTCTTCACCTATCCCATTTCCGACCCCTTATGGAGTCTCTCCATTTCGCTAACTACATCAATATTTATTTATGTATGTCCCTGTATGCATATTTACATATGTATGTATGTATATCTGCGTAACAACAACCAAAGCAGCAATCCTATGCATAAAACACAACAGCTACAGCATCCATTTCACCACTAATAACAACAAAAACTTCTGCTTGACAACCCCGCAATATAAAGAAAGAGAATAAAATAAAGAAAATTGTAAGAGAAGAAAAAGGAAACAAAAGACGCACGCGGTTGCCAAGGAAACTAAAGACATTCGGTTATGTGTGTGTGAGTTCACACTCTCAGGCGAGAAGAGAAGCTGCCAGCAAAAAGGAGATGAGAGAGCAACAGTCGCCACCAAGAACAGACAGATAACTCCCAGCGCCAAAAATACAGAACAACTACACTAGCACAAAGAAACTAAAGAAGTTAAAGTGGTATATATTTTACCTGTCTTACCTTTTTTAAAGATTTTATTAGTTTTTATATTTGGTTAAAAACTTTTAAAGAAAATAATTGTCTTTGTAATATAAATATATGAATATTTTAATCCTAATGTGGTAAAAACCAATTTACACATATTCGAATAAATGATTGATGGATCTAAATTTATTGTGCTTGTCTGGAACATATACTGTTATCATTTTCCCTCCTTGACTTCCCTTTAATATATGTATTACGTGCTTTGAGCAAATTTCTCAATGCTAATCCATAGTCTCAGAGACAAATGATTACGCTTAATTGATTGCCGCGTCGATTTTGCCAAATTAATAATAGTTCCGAACACAAGAACAATAACTTTCAATGAAAGGGGGTTTATTGAACAACGATATACATATATATACTCACTTTCCTTTTGATATGTTTTAGAAATATGAATATAAATATGATATGATCAATTGGCTTCCCCGATAACCATACCCAAATACAAACATCATTAGGTTAGAATACCATGATGTAAAGGATAATAATACAAAAGGTCAACTTTTGTAGAAAATAGAAAAACCTTACAAATATATGAGATATATTCCACTTTTTCATAAGATAATAAATATGCCCAAAAAGGTTTAAAAATGTAGTAGTAATAACAATCGTACTAATATTGAGTTATTAATGTAATAAAGCAAGTAACATTTTAGTCTTATTTTGAAGAGTCTGATTATTATGTATCCAATTTCATAAAAAGATATATTAGACAAAAAATTGGTTTCAAACTTCTTGACAAAGTAACGCATAAATTAAATTTCATTTCATATAATTCTTATTTTTGATTTTCGTTTCGGTTATACAAATACGAGGTGTGTTCAAAAAGTAAGGTGACTTTTCAAATTTCGCGGGCAACATATTTTCGATTATCGTTTTTTTTGTTTTGTTATATTGGTACACTCTTCCCTAACATCTGTACCAAGTTTCAATGGAACATCCTCTTTTGTTTGGTTGTGAGAGGCGTAAAGGTACAAGTTGTTTTGCGAGCTCGGCGATTTTTTGCTATCGAAAAATATGGATCAAAGGATTTGCATCAAATTTTGTGTAAAAAATAAAATTAAGTGCTCTGAAACACTTGAAATGTTGACAGTGGCATACGGGAAACTGTTCTGAGTAAAAAAGTGTACAAGTGGTACAAACTCTTCCAAGATGGCCGGGAAGATGCCAATGACCAGCCTCGCTCTGACGCCCAAGCACGTCAACAACTGATGAAAACGTTCAAGCAGTGACGAAAATTGTTTTGGAAAATCGTCGAATCACTATCAGAGAAGTTGCTGAAGATGTCGGTATATCGCTTGGCTCGTGCCACGAAATTTTTCAAACGTTTTGGGTATGAGTCGTGTGCAGCGAAGTTTGTTCCGAAATTGCTGAATTTTGAGCAAAAGAACCGTCGCATGAGCATCGCTCAAGAGCTGTTGAATGACGTCAACGACGACCCAGATTTACTCAAAAGGTCATAACTGGTGACGAATCATGGGTATATGGTTATGATATCGAAACCAAAGCCCAATCGTCCCAATGGAAGAGCCCAGACGAGCCAAGACCGAAAAAAGCAAAAAATCGCCGAGCTCGCAAAACAACTTGTACCATTACGCCTCTCACAACCAAACAAAAGAGGATGTTCCATTGAAACTTGGTACAGATGTTAGGGAAGAGTGTACCAATATAACAAAACAAAAAAAACGATAATCGAAAATATGTTGCCCGCGAAATTTGAAAAGTCACCTTACTTTTTGAACACACCTCGTATTCCATCTTCTATTCCACGTATTTATTGCCTCTTTGATTAATAGGCATTTTTTGTGGGTTTGATTGCTTAAGGCTCGTAGTTTTGTATTCCTGGCAACGTATTAATCATTAACTAGTCCGCTGATTCCTCATTTTCGGTCGGTGTGATCGCCTTTTTGGGGAAAGTATTCTGCTCTTCATATGGCATTTCTAGATGCTTAACCTGTTTCGGCTCGTTGATTTTTTTATCTGGGTAGGTGTTAAAATGGGAATTGACAGAGCCATAAAGGATAATGCTTAAACTTTTGTCTTTGTGTAAGGAAACACTGTTGGCCTCCTCAGAACTGGGATTCCTCTGTCGACGAGTCTTGACGGGTCTGAAAAATTCGGGGTCTGTAATTAGGGGAAACCGCTGGCAGCCGTTCCTATTGATTTGGATGGATTTCTGTGCAATCTCGGGCAGGACGGGAATCTTGTCCTCCGCCATAGACATCATTCCAAAGTGCCGCATCATTGCCACAGCCTCCAGTTCCGCGGTGCTGGTATCATCCGAGTCGACGGTTCTTGCGCACTCGTCCAGCGGCCTTGTACCAGCAATTTTTTTGATTTTTTTCATTATCTGCAGGATTTTACATATTTCCTGACCTTTTCCGCCTGTACTTCCATAGACTTTTTCGAGTTCGGAATTTTGCTTTTCTTGAGCTCCGGAAAATTCGTAGGCGCTTTTCGTACTCGGGCAAAACTCCATTGATTTATTGGCCTTGTTGTCCGCCAAATCGTCCTCGAACCGAGAATTGGGAACCCAAGCCATTATCGTGCTTCCTCTTTAAGTGAATTTTTTTTGTTAATTTATCTGTATCAGCCCTAACCTAAAACTCACCTTAAGACTCTCTAGCTTTTAAATACAAATAGGTAAACAAACTATATACTAGGTACCAGGAAAATTTAATTATTCTGAGAATTTTTTAAAAGACTTGTCTCAGCGTGACCATATGACGGAAAACGAAAATCACAAGTGGTTTTTACGGTCGAGCTCGTGCTGAGGTGGGTTTGGAGGCCGGTGTGTGGTGAATAATATTGCGCCAAAAAGTCAAACAAAAGGAGAAAGGGGAGAGAACGATAAAACGGGAAGCGGGGCCAGACAGCAAGTCATTAAATAAACAAAGTCTAAAGCAACACGGATCAAGATATACATATATTTGTTATGTTATATGTTTGTTATAGCCTTATATTAGGGACCGAATCTTAACTCACCAGCGGCGTCTTTTCCGGCTGCGCGTTTTGCTTTTGTAGCAAAGTCTTCAGAAATACGGACTTCCTGTCTTGAGTCTATAATGTTGCCGGTTCACTGGGATACAAAACAGTTATTTACAGCGATCATCCTTTCATTTGCAGCCAAGAAGCAATTAAAATGCAAAAAATTCTGCAAACGCTTCCGAAATTTACTCCGTGATCAGTGTGACCTCGCCTTTTACAATGAAAAATACCAACCTAAGCATTAATACCATTATATACCATTTCAGTTCCAAAAAATACTATTTACATACCACCAATTTTAAAATTAAGGGTTAGGTAAAATAAGGAAAAATGTTCATTAAGTACATTTAAAATTTAAATATATAGAAGAAACATATTATTTGTTTTAACATTGTATTGATTGTAAAAAGTTACTAAATAATTTTCGTAAATATTGAAATTGATTTGAAGTGTATATTTAATACTTAAAAAGAAATATAAATAAACTTACGGTCTAAGTTAAGTTTCTGAATTTGCCTATAGTTAATTTTTGTTGGGATTGTAGTGGCGTTTGAAATTTTTTAAATAAACGTAGCACCCCAACTCATTTAGCTTTATTAAATGAAAAAATGTTACTACTTATGATTCGAAATATTTAAACAGAACCATTTGTTTTGATATTTATTACCTACTCTTATGTTATCAAAACGATTTTTAAATATTAAACTTATACTTCATTTTTGTGCTTAATATACAAAGATAATATTGAATGCTTAAATAGTTGCATATCCTTCTATTTCCCAGCTGATGATACAGGATTTGTCGGCAATGTACAAACTAATTCAAAAAGTATACTTTCGAAATAAATTTTATATACTTTGATTTTATGTGCCCTGCTTAGAGTACATGTCCTTGATTATCTGCATCCGAGTCATCCGAGTGGCGCACAGCCAGGAGTCTTTGATTTGGAACGCCTCGAACTGCTTGCGATCTTCCTTAAAAGGTTTGTAATAAACATCGTAAATTATACGCAAAATGCGCTGCACATTTGCATGCGAGGGCTTATTTGGTTGATCCCGAAATATTTGGTTCTTCTGCATTTTTGTGTATTTGCCATCATCCCACCAATCGGGAAAATCCGCATCCACATATTCATGTTGCTCTATGTCTTCAATGTTGGGAGTAATGTGATGTACAGCCTTAAGTGATAAGAGTTTTGTTAGATATCGAACATTTCGGTTAAAGTTATACCATACATCCGGTGTACTCCAACTCCAAGCTAGATCAAACGGAGTGGGAGGCTTTTCGACTTGCTTTTCTTCAGACAGCATTTCGACGAGAAAATCCTCTTGCTGATCGTGCTCTGCTAGGGATAATGCCAACTCATTATCCAATTCGTCCATTTGCTGTTGGGAGGAAACTGTCTGCTTTTCCACGGCACATTTCAGTTTCGTCGGAGCACCTGGAGGTGGATCTATAGATTGAAACCAACGCAACTGTCCATCCATATTGACTGCCTAAAAGGAAGTAAAAGTAGGATTAGAATCTGAGATTCAACATTATTAAATTATGTTGCCTACAATAAGTTGCTTATTGCTGATGTCTCCATGAAGTAATTGCGGTTTGCAAATTGTGATAATTGGGATCTTCTCTTCCTTCAGTTGATTGTACACAAACTCTAGCTTAATGTCTCCCTGTTCTTCATCATCGATTTCTTTCATTAAACTTATAAGCAAGTTTTCTTTTGGTTTGGGCAGCGCAGGTGATCTGTTAACTTTTGGCAGCAAATTAATGTCTTCGCGCTCTATGTTCTCGTCCAGAATCTGGACTTCTAGCATCTGTTCCTCCATTAACTGCTCTTTTTGCTTCTGCTTCTCCAGCATCTGATGCTTCAGTTTTTGCTCCCTGTGGTACTTTAAATTCTGAACGATAACATTTTGCTGCTCACACTTTTTAGCCTTAAGTTTTTGCTTCTCCAACATCTCTGCCTCAAAGTGCAACTCGTCGCGCAGCTCCTCAGCGGTTTGAATGGCCTCCTCAATGCCCGAGTGCCGCAGTTCGTGGTGTCGCTTAAGATTGGCTTTCCTATCGGAACTGTAAGTGCATAAGGAGCACTTGAAGGTCTTGTTGCTTTTCTCCGGATTGTTGTGCACCGACAAGTGGCGCTTGAGGTCAAAGGGGCGATTGGTTTCATATTTGCAGCCCATCACCTGGCACTGTATCTTGACATTGCGATCCAGGGGCGGGGTTTCCGGCAGTCGTTCCTTGGTCCCGGGATGCTTGACGGACAAGTGCCGCTTTAAATTGGATGACTTTTCGGTGCTGTAGACACAAACTGGACAGCCGTACTGTTTGGATTCTTTTGGTTTCACGTGGGACTCTCCGTGACGCGTCAGGTTGTAGGGTCTGTTGGTCCTATAAGGACATCTGGCCACGCTACAACGGTATCTCCAAACAGTGCATGGTCCTTCTGCTTCCTCCGACGATTCCTGGTCCTCGCTCAGCATTGTCAGGAGTCCACTGATGGCACAATCTACGTTATTTTAAATGCTTCAGCCGGCACTATTAATAGCTTATCGAATAAACAAAAAGCACAAACATATTGTTGAATTGCCGAACTGTGGGCTATAATTTTATATACTTATTTGTAAATAATTTCTATTTATTTATAAACAACATTAGATCGGCTTTTTTTTTCGATACTATCGACTGTGGCAATCGATGTCACTGTTGCTGAATCAAATCATATGTAATTGAATTGTAATCATCTCTATAAATAGTGTTGGCAAAAGTTTTTGTATTTGTGTTGGAAAGCGCAAATTAAAAGAGCGGTTAATTTAAATATGTACGGTAACAATGAGTTTTCTAAAAAAAAATCTTAAATGAGAGAGAAATTTGAAAAAACAAGGTATTTAGAATGACAAATACAATTTTTAAGAGGGTCAGAATAAAGTACCTTTTCCCGAATTCACCCGAATTTTAACCACAAGCAGCGACCTACACTTGGCAGAGTTCATTATCCTTGCCGCCGTTTTACTACAGGACATGCGCCTTGCAACGCATGCAGCCGGCTTGCCGTTTTCATTGAGATTTTGGGGCCACCATTCAATAGAATTCTCCCCTCAGACGTTAAAACTCGGCTCAGTGTTCGTCTTGTCTGTAAGATTCGGTTTTGGGATCGGGAGTCCTTGCAGTTCTTCAGCTGTTTTGACTTTTCCACTCGCTCAGTACCAAGTCGACTGCTGGCCAAGGCATACGAAATACTCGGAAAATCAGCGGGCAACCGAAAAAAAATATTTCCAATTATTAAAGTGAAAAAAGACTTTATTTAATTTGGACAACGCAAACGAAAACCCAAAGAAAAGAAAGTAAATTGCGAATAAAAAATGGGCTAGTCCTTCACTGTGTGTGTGTGTGTCTATGTGTGTTTGTGTTGGCGTCTAGGCCATTAAAATAATTGCACAAATATATCCGGTTATGCTGCCCCTGTTAACATCAACAGGGAATACGAAATAAATAAACAACCCCCATAAAAAAACCCGTTTTAATTGGTTAGCCAACGCCCCCGCTACTATGCTTACCCTCCTCTTGCCCTGTACTTTTCTTAACCCACAACTGTGTTTGGCTTTCTAAATTGGCATAAATTCATTTATGGGTCAAACACCCTCTCGAAAGTTACCAAACCATAGAAAAAAAATATATAAAATGCACTTGAGTATATTGGTGTTGGTTTTTCGTCTTTGTGTATGTGTGTGTGAGTGCACTTCCGGTTGCAAGGCACGTAACGGAAATATGCAGTGAAAAACCCCTCCCAACAACGAAAAATTTTCAAATTGCGCAAGGTTATTCCAAGTGAAAGGAAACCTCAAATATTCGCAATTATTCTTAAATGTCGAGAATGAACTAAACGCCTATCCTCCATCACCCACTCATTAGTCAGTATAATCGTGCCATTAAAGCCAAAACAAACCCAATCATGAAAATTAAAAGAAAATATTGAAAGCCATTTTCGCGGCCAATTGTTTATAATTCAAACGATATGTTTTTCATCTTTTTCGCGCCGTTCCTCATGCAGACGTAAACAATTAAAGCAAAAAGAATCGAATAGAAATAAAAGTTTAAACTTCATTTAGATGCTCTTGCAATTTGAAAATGCTAACAATAAAATATATTAATATCTTGGTTTTTTTATTTAATAACCTATTTAATAATTGATATTAATTTTCGAACATCTTGAAATCCCTTGTTCATAAAATTTTGATTATTTTGTAATATATAATATTCCTCTGTTTGTAAGAGTATTGAATTTTTGAAAAACAAACAAATATTCAATAATAAAATCTGATTTCGTGAAAGTTTCTGAGTTCGCGCCACCAAATATTGTTATTTTTTCGGATGATTTCAGTTTTTTTGCCGAAATCAGATTTCAATTTCGTTTTGCTTCTCGACCTCTGACCTCGTTGCTGCACTGGAGGTTCTACGGCAGCAAACTCGTTCAATTGCCGCCCTCAAGAGGAAATCTCAACTCAAGGTGAGTGAAAGGTTCCCCTATACAGAGAGCGACATTTTAAGATATATATATAAAAATCATTTTTATACATAATAAAACCATAAAATGGCTTTAATTAAATTGTAAACGAAAATAATTTAGTGACGAAACAATCTTGTTTATATTTATGATTGTTGTTTTATATTCAAAATATATTGTACATACCTAATATTTAACATTCCTAATATAATATTTGGAACTGTTGGGTTCAATTTAAGTGCAGGGGAATTAGTTGGTTTTGATAAGGATTATTACATCGCTGCTGGCCCTCTGCCATTGTTTGCCTTTGTGGCCTTTGACCCTTTGTCCAGGTACGTCCTCATTCCCATTCTCGTCGCCATTTGCATCCCCATCATCGTCCTGTCGATGACTCTTCAGTGTCCACTTGTGCCAGTTTCTCGATTACCAGCCAGCTCAATGGAGGGGTTTGTATTGCAACAGGGGAGAAGGTCGCACTGTACTGCGAGACTTTTCATCTATTTTCTGTTGCTGTGCAAACTGTGAAGTTCTTGCACTCGTAACTTGTGTTTGATTAACTTAATGAGGAGAGGTCAATAAAGGAGAAACTAAACGGGTAAGACTGAAAGCTTGACAAATAATAACGAAGGTAGATGATTGATTAGTTTATAAATGAGTTCTATCACCAAAGATATTGTGGGGTTAATATTATTTCAATCACTTGGATTCTTCATTTGGCACGAGCAGAAAATCCTGGCTTTAGACATAACACTAAAACAGCTGCATGAGATCTAGCTGTGCAAGCTTTAAGTTATTTAACTCAATAATAACAATAAGAATAACCAAAAATATATTTTCACTAATTGAAGAACAAGAAAACGATGAGGTAATAATTTTGTTAATAATAACAATCAAGTGCACATGTTTATTCCATCAATTGGTACAATTTATTAGGATACATCTTTGGCAGCTAATAAAATGGGCAGACAGTAACCTGATGGTATATTTTTTAAAAGAAAGGTAACATCTTTATCATCTTTGTAATCGAACTAAGTTTCAGTTGCCTGAAGTAAGCCTTAAGAATATGTTGTTACATTTTTTACGCTCGTCGTGTTTCGTGCATTACTGGAAAAAGTTGAATCGTAAAAACGAGTTAACCTAGTTTCAGGTGGGCAACGGTGTGTGTGTTTCCATTGGCATTAGTGTTTGTGTAGGGTGCATACAGTTGCATTTGAGTTGTTTCATGCAAATAAACAAACAAACAAACAGAAGCACAAATACGAACGCAAAGGCGAACACATGCAAGAAATTTGATTCATTTGCATGTTGCACCCCCAACAAAAGCTGCCACACAAACATAGATACCAACCAACACACACACAAGCGCACACACCCCACTGCACACAAGTGAAACTATAACAATCCTTACAGACATACTTTGGAGGTCAAAATAATAGTTCAGATGTACGTAGATATCAAAACTCGAATAGAGTTTGGTGTCTGGTTAGCTTATTTATTTTGCAAAGAACTTACTAATTTTTAAACCATTTTCGGCTAAATCAAAAAAGTAGATATAAATGTTGATAATTCATGTTTAAAATACTATTTCTTTGGACACATTTGTATGAAGGGCGCAGAACAGTTAAACAGCTTTTAAGCACAAACAAAGCCCAGAAACGAAGGGGTTAAAACAGGGGTGGATCGAGGCAAAGAGGTGCCTTGGGGTCACCGCAGGCGAGTGCAGTGCCCTCAATTAGAAGGCGCTCAAGGACATCGGCGAACAGCTGCAGCAACAACACGAATGGCAACAACAGCTGCTCGCTAAGTTCGCCTTTAATTGCTGACAACATGGCGTATACGTAACACCGACCTGCATTTCCCCCAGTAAAACGTTGCGTTACACGTTCCTCACATTGAGTTTTGATTTGTACTGCTGCACCCCTGTACTTTGAACTGTTTCTCAAGCATTTCGCGCTTGGCCTTCTATAAAAAAAACAAAATATTGAGGGTGAATGGGGTTAAAATGGGTTGCAAATAGCTGCCGTCGCCTTGGCTGGCATCCTCAGCCTCATCTTCAGACTCAAGTTACTGCCGCAAACAAAAACAGAATGACAACAAAGTTAGAATGAATCGAAAGCCAGGGGCATTAATGAATACCCTTTAAAATTAATGTAAAATGACGGAAATGAAATATATATTATATACATATATATATATTTATATTTAATATAATAGGTAAAAAGAAACAAAATTTTTTGAGGTCGATAATACCGTGTTTTTAGGTTCTCATGATATCCTCTCTATTGCTGTGGCTTTTGATGATGATGTTGTTGCCATTATTGTTGTAGTTCGTCCTCGACGTTGTCTTTGCTTGCGAATTTTCCCAAGGACACGCACTATGTGTGTGGAGCCACAAGTCGTTGGCGTTTGTTGCCCGCCACAAGGACACTTGAGGCATGTATGCCAGATTTAGTATGCCACCCACTTCCACCTTTTCGTCCATACCCTGGTGCTCCAGCATCCTTCCAAGGATCGGCTGCCGGATGTAAAAGCAGTCAAGCAACCTTCGCCGGAGGTGAAGCGACAAACCTGAACCTGAATTTATCCTCGGACTACCACCATCTCGCTTGCTCATCTACAGAAAAAAAATACTTCCCAGTTTTATTTTTTGTAATCTTCAGACTTCATAAAAGTTTTTATATTTAATCATTTTAGTCGTTATCGGCCCAACTATCGGCGTAGTAGCTTTTTGGGTTGTTGTTGGGTTTACACATAATGTGTAGGCGCATTCTTTTTACACTTATGATTCCAGCAACTACAACGTAGAGGCATAAAACAGGCGAAAACAATAAAAAAATATAAGTAAGATATACCTAAATAATATTCCCAGTCTTTTTGCTGAGATTAAATCTCCCAAGTTTACTGAAAACTATGACTCCGGCTGATCTTCTGTGTATTCTCTTTCTCTTCTGTTCTCTTGTATTTTTATATATACAATGCTCTCGCTTAAAAATGAAATTTCGGCTTGTTGAATTTATATTCTTATTTAGCGTACACTTTCCTTTTATTAATTCACTCATACGAGTAAAAAACAAACTTGATTAAGCCCAATTTTTTAACCATTTTTCGGAATCTGCAGAAAGTTAAAGGTATCGGTAGTTTTGGTCATCAGCAACTGAAAGCATTCGGCCTTTTAATTATCGTCTTGTTTTGACCAATTTATATCCTAAAAGCAGTCAAAAAAAAAAAAATGCAAATATTGTTCGGAAATCTGTATGCTGTATTGTAGGAAACGCTTGCTTCTATTTGTTGTTTTACTTTTATAGAGTACAATATTCTTAAACTAGTTAAGGGTATATTTGATCATATATACATATATTTACATCATAAGAACTTAGCAAAATTGACAAGCTATGAGGTAGTATAATTAAACATTTAATTTTATTTAATTCATTTGGCTAGCAGTTCTTTCATATAATAATCTTCTTCTAACAAAACTTTTTTACGGAGTCTGATTTGAAAATAGTGCGCTATAGGACGGTGGTAAGTCTTCTTGTGGTTCGGTCGGCGGCGCAGTAGGTTGGAAATCGGCTGCCGAATTTGTTGTACGGTTTTGGTTGTTGATATCCGGAGTGGTTGCATTGTTATGGTTGTTGGTATCGGGATTGGTTGCAGGGTTATGGTTGTTATATTCTTCATATGATGCGAATGGATCTAGTCCTAAAGTCCGAAGTACATTTGATCTGAAATTTTGGAATTCATCTGATCGTGAGTTCTGGAATGGTCCGAGGGTCCGCAATACCTCTGATCTATAATTTAGGAATTCTTCTGAAAAGGAATTTGGGATTTCATCTGATCTGAGATTCCGGGATTCTTCTGATCTAAAATTACGGGATTCATCTGATCTAAAATTACGGGATTCATCTGATCTAAAATTCCGTGATTGATTTGATGCGGCATTCTGGGTTGGACGTGATTCGGAATTGGCATTTTGTTCACACTTGCAACACAGTGAACGTACAGCACATGCGAACATAAGTATTAAAAACAACATCATAAAATTTAAAAAAATTCCAATTCTTCTCCCATTTTAAAAATTGTTGATGTAAAATCTTCCAAGCATACAGAAGTTTGAGTTTACGAGCTTATCAGACGGTTGCTCTCCAAGATATTCGCACGTGTATATTAACTTTCTCTTCTATTCTCTTAAGGTGTTTTAGAGAGATACGCGTTTTTTAATGGTTGGTTAAAGCTCAAAGTTTTAGTTTAGTTTTATTTTTGTCAGCAAAATAGTTCCTTAATTTTAAATCGAGCTATTCTGGATTGCACTATTTCATTTTTTCCAGTTTATTATCCAAAGAGAGGTAAAGCTGAGTAGGCAAATGAGACCGCGTATTTCGAGTTCTACTATACATTGATAGCTATGCTTGATAGCTCAAAATCCAATTGATCTGTAAAAGCAAAAAAGCTGAGTTTCACTGACTCTATTTTTTTTTTGCAAACAGTTGCAAACAGCAACTGTTCATCAGCCAAAACTAATAAATGATAATAAACAAAAACGTACCTTAAATCGAACACTTAAATTTGTACTTCCGTCGAATTGAAATGCTTCCACCTTACTAAAGTATCAGATTGTATAATGCGTATGATAGGAGAGAATATTCGCACTCTCACCACACTATTACACAAACTAAAGAGAGCGCGAGCCGTTCTACACAGCGGTCTCTGTAATTAAAGAATGCTCGGTTAGAGTATTTGTTTGAAAAACTTAACAAGTTTTAAAAATTGTTTTTGTCTGTAAACTACTTTTTTTAATTGATAAAAGCCTTCTGACTGCTAAACTTTCTTTACGGAGTCTTTTCTGAAAAAATTTCACTGTATGATGGTGGTAAGTCGTCTTGTGAGGCAGTAGGCGGAATATCAGCTGCTAAATTTGTTGTACTGGAATGGTTGTTGGTATTATGATCTTCAAATGATATGGAGACACGATTAGCTGCTTCATTTGGGAGTTGATCTGATCCGGAATTCCGAAATGATCCTAAGTTGTGGTAAGTTGATCCGAGAGTCCGCAATACCTCTGATCTGAAATTTTGGAACTCTTCTGAATTGAAATTTGGGGATTCAGCTGAACGGGAATTCTGGAGTTCTTCTGATCTGATATCCTGGGATTCTTCTAATCTGAAATTCCGTGATTGATTTGGTGTGGAATTCCAGGTTTCACTTGATTTGTAAAAAGGATTTTTTGTACATTTCCAACACAGTGCCGAGCAAGCGGCGAATATAAACAACAAAACAAAAATAAAATTTAGCAACAACAAAACCCAATTCACATCCATTTTCAATATTTGCTGATGTGAAAGCAGCCAACCATATTGAAGTATAAATTTATGCTCTTATCAGACGGCTCTTCTCAAATATATTTTGCATGGGTATATTCTCTTACTCTTTATTGTTCTCTTAAGGTGTTTATAATGATATGTGAAAAAACAGTGCTCTCTTTTAAAAGCGATTATTCTTCTGGGTTTCTTGAATTTAATAATAATTAATAATTAATAAGTTTTAATAAAACTCACAATGTCATAATGTCAGTTTTGTTATTTTTATTTATTTTAAATCCATCCAGCAATTTTTCTTACAGTTTACCAAAGAGGCAAATGAGATACAATTTTATCACGCATTCCGTTCTATTTCTAAATCCAAATGATCTGTTATAAGAAAAAATTGAGTTTCACTGACTCTATATATTTGCAAGGACAGCTTAATTCTTACCAGGCAAAACTAATAAACGTTAATAAACAAAAACTTAATCAATTGAAAATCGAACACTTTAATATTTACTTCCGTCGAATTGAAATGCTTCCACCATACTGAAGTATCAGATTGTACAATGCGTAAGATAGGGGGGTATATACGCACTCTCACCACACTTTTACAAAAACAAAGAGAGCGCGAGCCGTTTTACACAGTGGTCTCTGTTATTAAAGAACGCTCGGTTAAAGAGTTTGTTTAAAAAGGTTTACAAGTTTTCTTGGCTGTAAACAACTCTTTCCAATAGGTATTCTATTTTTTATATTTATTGGCAAAAAAATAGTATTTTGGCATAGCGCAAAGCAAGAAATGGTTGGAATGCAGAGTGTTATTCCTCGTGGAATAATTTGATTCATTATTAATTGTCATTAAAGACCTGAAAAATTTAACTTTTGAACATTTTTCGGATTAATATTACATTTTGTGTAGTCGTGGACGCCTTACGAAAAATCAAGCTTTGCTGCTTAGTCTTTTCTATTATTAAAATAACTTGGCTATTAACCTCCAGAATATGTATATTTCTTAGGGTCAAAAACGCGCCAATCTGTCGAATGAACATTTTCAACGAATGCAATATTCTTTTCAATATATACTGCTTGTAGTAGAGGGTATAATTTCATCACAAAAAAACAATAACTTCTAATATTTTAAGATTATTAGGTAGTTTATTTAAATATATATTTATTATATATCATTGATTTGGCAGCCCTTAAATATTTTCGCTTAAAGAAATAATACCCGCTTCTTCGAGTGAAACTATCCTTACGGAATTTCTTCTGGAAAAATATCACTGTATGATGGTGGTAAGTCTTCTTGTCTTTTAGTCAGTGGGGCGGTAGGCGGATTATCGGCTGCCAAATTCGTTGCTCGGGTATGGTTTCTGGTACCACATATTTGTGCACATTTCGAACACAGTGGATATAGCGCACACCCGCATATAACAATAAAAATACATAAGGAATAAGTTGAAAAACTTTGGAGTTCCGTTACCATTTTTAAATTGTTTGCGTAAAATCTTCCAAGCATACAGAAGTTTGAGTTTACGAGCTTATCCGACGGTTGCTCTCCAAGATATTCGCACGTGTATATTTTCTTTCTCTTCCGATCTCTGAGATGTTTATATTGAAATAAATCCAGTATTTTTGGCTTTATTATTTCTCTTTTTCCAATTTTTTCACCAAAGAGGCGTAAAACTGAGTAGACAAAAGAGACTTCATACTTTAAGGTCAACTATAATTGTATGACGCATTCCTTGATATCTCAAAATCCAATTGGTCTGTAATAAGAAAAAGATGAGTTTCACTGATTCTGTTTTTTTTTAAAAACAGCTTAATGCTCATCAGCCAAAACTAATAAATGATAATAAACAAAAACGTACCTTATTGAAAATCGAACACTTTAATATTTACTTCCGTCAAATTGAAATGCTTCCACCATACTGAAGTATTAGATTGTAAAAGGCGTACGATAGGGGAGAATATACGCACTCTCACCACACTATTGCAAAAACTGAAGAGAGCGCGAGTGGTCTCTATAATTAGAGAACGCTCAATTGAAAAATGTATTTGAAACAACAATATGAAACGCTATAGTCGAGAGCCGCGACTATGAGATACCCGTTACTGTTTTAGACAATTAGAAGATATTCATTTTGCTAGTTGAATTGGACAAAGCGCCACCTTTTGTCAAAAAAGCATGTTTACTGAAGGATTGCAACGTCCGAGATTTTCGTATTTTTCGGTTTGTCGTTTTTTAGACGTTAGAGAGGCCATGGCCAGATGGCACTTATAATTATCGATATATCAGCCATTCTACAAAAAGCGAAAATCGTCTTTCGAGCTTGGTGGGCGTAGGATGTGGTAATTGTACCACCATAAGATGTGCTGGCATCTTAAGATTTTACTTACCTAATCCCAACTTTCTACCTCTGATAGTTCCTGAAATTTCAGCAGTTTCAGTTCTTCGTGATTTATGGGCGTTAGAGTGGGCGTGACAGGGACCTCAAGAATCTGCCTGCTTAATCTCAAATCTGTATCTCTTATAGTTCCTGAGATCTCCGCGTTCATACGGACAGACGGACGGACGCACAGACATGGCTTTATCGATTTTTGATACTGATCAAGAATATATATACTTCATAGGGTCGGAAACTCTTTCTTCTACCTATTACATACTTTTCAACGAATCTAATATACGCTTTTACTCTACGAGTAGAGGGTATACTAAAGGCAAGTTAAACATTGTATTGGTCACAAAATGGTATATATACTTTATACTTATCACCATTTCTCGGAAAAGTAGTAAATTGGATCTATGCGTGGGCGGGTATAATTTCATCATAGGGAACGTAACAAAATAAATTTATAATATTTTAAGATTATGAGGTAGTTTATTTGAATATATTTTATATTATTCTTTTGGCTGCCATTTTTTTTTAATAGTCTTCTCACAGCGAAACTTTCTTTACGGAGTCTTATTTTGAAAAATTTCACTGTAAGATGGTGGTAAGTCTTCTTGTGGTTCGGTCGGTGGGGCAGTAGGTGGGAAATCAGTTGGCGAATTAGTTTCACGGGTATGGTTGTTGGTATCGTGATTTGTAGTACGGTTATGGTTGTTGGTATCACGATCTTCAAATGATGCGAAGTTTGGGAATTGGTCTGATCCGAAGTTTCGAAATATATCTGATCCGAAATTCTGGAATGCATCTGATCCTAAGTTCTGGAAAGTTGGCCCAAGGTTCCGCAATACCTCTGATCTGAAATTTTGAAACTCTTCTGAATTGAAATTTGGCGATTCATCTGATCTGAAAGTCCGGGATTCTTCTGATCTAAAATTCCCGGATTCATTTGAATCGAAATTTGGGAATTCATCTGATCTGAAATTCTGGGATTCTTCCGTTCTGTGAGTCCGGGATTGTCCTGATCTAAAATTGCTTGATTGATTTGATGCGGGATTTCGGGATGCACGGGATTTTCGCTCATGTGCCCATTTCCAACACAGAGGATATAGAGCAAGACCGCATAAAAAAAAAAAAAAAATTAAAGAAAAAGTTTTAAAAGCATCAAGTTCCGTTCCCATTTTTAAATTTGTTCTTGTAAAATCTTCCAAGCATACAGAAGTATAAGTTTATGAGCTTATCAGACAGCTGCTCTCCAATATATTCGCACGTGTATATTCTCTTGCTCTTCCGCTCTCTGAGATGTTTATAATTATATGTTGAACAGTGCTCTCTTTTAAAAATGATTATTATTTTTCTGGGTTTCTTGAATTTGTTGTTTATAAGCTCAAACTCTCAACTGTGTCAGCAGAATGGTTCCATTACTTTAGTATCAGCATTTTTGGCATTGACTATTTCACTTTTCGAGTTTTTTCACCAAAGAGGCGTACAACTAAGTAGACAAAAGATACTTCATATTTCGAGGTCTACTATACAATTGTACCACGCATTCCTTAATAACTCAAAATCCAAATGATCTGTAATAAGAAAAAACTGAGTTTCACTGACCCTATGTATTTGCAAGGACAGCGCAATGTATCAAAACTAATAAATGAAAACTTACTTTATTGAAATTCGAATGCTTTATTTTTACTTCCGTTGAATTGAAATGTTCCAACCATACTGAAGTATGACGTTATACAATGCGTAAAGGGAGGTATACGCACTCTCTCACCACACTATTACCAAAACCAAAGGGAGCGAGAGACAGTGGGTTCGGTTAATAGAGAACGCACATAAAAACATAGCATAAACATAAAAAGAGCGCCAAAGAGAAAAGCTTCATTGCTTTACATTGTAGAACTTTGAGAAGTATTCTTGTCTGAAAACTACTTTTTGTAAGTTCATTTGTTCGAGTCAACACTTTAGCACATACCAAAGTCGACATATTAAAACATAACAAGAGAGCCAAAAGAGAGTAATTTTATAGCTTATCGTGATATTCCGACACGTGTTTGCTAATTTCTCTTAACTCTTTTTATATACATACACATACGTACGACTGCCAAATTTATGTAGGAAAATTTCTTGTTTTATTGGAAAAAATTAGCTATTTTATTTTTAAAGAAATTTGTCTCGTTGGGACTTTTAATCACACACTAATAGGTTGAATTAAAAAAAAACGGCTTTTAGTTTGATTTATATAAGATTAATTTAAAAAACAATTATGTGGCCAGCGTTTGGGAACTAGATAGGTATAATTTATGAAAAAACATTATAATTATTTACATTATCATCTAAATAAGTAATACCAAAATTTTTGCTTATGTATTTCTCTATACCTATCTCATTCTGTAGGAGCTGGTGGGGGTGGCTTCATGTTTTGTGGCCGAATGTTTGGTCAGCCATGAAGGCAACAACATAGCACCCCCTTAATCCACCTCCGTTCACCTTAACCCGCTGTTGTTGTTACTTGGAATCTTGACATTTAATTATCCGCTGTTGGCTGCAGTTTCCACTGGGGCAGCTGATTCTGTGTGTCAAGGTCCTCGGTTTGTTTTCGGCGGCTGGCGGGAAACGCATCTGAGGCTGAGGTGATCTGCTGCCAAGGTCTAACTCGTGAAGGAAATTCGACAAAACGTTCAAGGTGAAATTTATCAATGTGCTATCCCGGCAAGCCATTAAATTGAACTTAAAGTGCATCTAATAAATGCATTGGAAACATAAGCTTATTAGGCGTTCTGAAAAGCATTTAAAAATAGTTTGGAAAAAATATATACCTATAGTCTTGTTTAGATTACTTTAAATATTAATATTAATTCTTTAACATTTATTAACTTGGTTCTGATTACTAACATTTATACTAACTAACTAATTTTTAACTGCTAGCTCTTTTTATTAACATTGCAGTTGTCGAAATGGAGCGATGCGAAAGCCGGCGAAGAAGGCGAAGGTAAGCCATTTATCTTAAAAAAAATATGGAGTCATATCAACATTACGTATACGCAATATATACCACAGTTTTTGAGTCGCAGTTTGGGGGAAACTTAAATTTAGTGTTGGTCATAAATTTTAACTAAAAGCTGCAACTTTAGGGAGAGAGAATATACGTTTAAAGTTAAATCTAAGAAACTAGACTTTTGTTTTTTCTTCTATAAACGGTTATTGCCCCAAATTTGAAAGCTCTTAATAATGGAATGTACTTGCTATTAGCACCAATCGACATCAACATTCAACAAACTAAACTAAATAATAAATTCCGAGTTAAGCAGCTGTGATTTCAGCAGGAATTTAAATTGCAATTGTATAAGTTTAAGTGTTTAAGTTTTCAGGTCAATCAATAGCAATCCGATGGGTCTTGCCTGTGATTAGTAGTATGTCAGGATATGAAGAGGATATCTGTATGTGTGTGTTTTAAGTGCTTCGTTGCATGTATGTGTGCCTTTTTGTGTGTGCAAAATGAAGGTACTGCCGACGGCATTTTGCTTGGCTTGCAGCATGGTTTACGTGTGCTCGCGACCTACGACAACCTAAAAGAAACTTGCCTAGGTTAAGTCCTGCGCAGACTCACACAAAGCCACTCAAGGGACGACGTTAATGCACATGTGGGCATGTGTGTGTTGTGAGTGCAATCAATGAAAGTTCAACGCACGTGAAAGGCAACAAAAAATGTGACTTTGCCATGTCTAAAACTTTGCTTGTTATAAAAAATTGACCATTTAAAAGTAATTTTACAAGTGGGCCAAATAAAACGACTAGTCTTTAATATACCAAGCTTGGAGATTGATTTACTTAAATTTAAAAGATTAAGTTTTTATTAATAAGAAAAAAATGAATATGTTTTTAGATTTGTTTAGAATACTTATGAGTCACACTATGGCAATTCTATTTCAATTATTTTTGATTCCAGGGTTACAAATTCAAATTCTTTGTACAGAAATTTAAAAAATAAGCTAAGGCGCTCTTTTTGATTTTTTGTAGGACTCTGTGGGTACTCCACAAGGTCCTCAAAAGTGTCTGCCATAGTTTGAAGAATATCCGAGTGGAGAGCTGTGCAAATATGTTTGCACTTTTAAGGGCGCATGTTTGTTTGGCTGCTGATGCGGCCAATGCCATTTGAAATTAAATGCCAAAAAGTGACAACACATCGAACCACACACGCTCCCATTTCTTTTTTTTATTGTGAAAAAAAAACGAAGAACAAAAAATGGCAGGCGATAACTGACCCAGATTTCTGATGCCACCCTGCAAACCACCGCACATCGCGTATACGCCGCGTGTTTGTGATGGCTTTTACGGTTTTCCCTTCTTCGCTTTTTGTGTTTGCATTTTCCGATTGAAAATTATTATTTTATTTCCTAGCCATGATAACGATAACGATTGCACCCCAAGGTTATAAAAAATCAGAGAAAATACTTTTTTATGGCAATTTGATGATTTCCAGGAGCAGCTGCCTTGAACACCATCAATGTGTCTGTATGTGTGTATATGTGGGTTTTGTTCAAGGTCGAATTGGGTTGAAAGTAACTGGATTATCTTTCCCAGACATCTGAGCGGTTAGTTATAAGCGGATGTGATGGTTGCAATCAGTGGAGCATCCAGAATGTAAAAGTTTTTTAACACAATATTTTGTAAAAGTTGTTATCCAAGTATCTTTCCTATTTTTATCCTTCTTTATAATGTTTCATTTTTCGGATAAGACCTGTTGGCGTTTTAATAAAATTAAAAATCTTTATTTTCCTCTCACACATAGACGACGGAAAAAAGCTGCATTTCGTGAGTCCGGCTCGCCGGAAATCGGTGCTGGCTCCCATCCTAAATAAGATCAAGAATGGCGCTGATGCGGCGGATAGTGCCGAGAAAAAACTGGGCAGCGAGAGCAGTGGCAGTGGTCACATAGCGGTCCAAATAGAGCCAGCCAGACGGGTCAAGGTGGGATTTACTTGGATTTCTCCTTAAATGCAATAATAATGAATCATATTGATCCTTCAGCGTCACAGTATCCACGGCATGATGGAGGAGGAGAACACTATCAGGCCGCATCAAGAGATCAGGCAACTGACGCTCGAGGAGAAGAAGTTCCTGTTGGCTGTGGAGAGGGGCGACATGGCAGGCACTCGCAGAATGCTACAAAAGGCGCAGGATACGGAGTATATCAATGTTAACTGCGTGGATCCGTTGGGACGTACTGCATTGCTAATGGCCATTGACAACGAGAATCTAGAGATGGTTGAGCTGTTGATTAACTACAATGTGGACACGAAAGATGCACTGCTGCATTCCATCTCTGAGGAATTTGTTGAAGCTGTAGAGGTTCTGCTAGACCACGAAAACGTCACCTTTCACAGCGAGGGCAACCATGTAAGTTGAATATTTGAAATATTTATTTATTTAGAATCTCATCACATATTCACTAATCCTAACCAGAGTTGGGAGTCCGCTTCGGAGGATACTTCGACCTTCACGCCAGATATTACTCCCCTAATCCTGGCGGCACACCGTGACAACTATGAGATCATCAAGATCCTTTTGGATCGGGGTGCCGTTCTGCCCATGCCCCACGATGTGAGATGTGGCTGTGATGAGTGCGTCCAGTCTCGGCAGGAGGATTCCCTCAGGCATTCGAGATCCCGCATCAATGCCTATCGGGCTTTGGCCAGCCCTAGTTTGATAGCACTCTCCTCCAAGGATCCCATCCTCACGGCCTTCGAGCTGTCCTGGGAGCTGCGCCGGCTCAGCTTTCTTGAGCACGAATTTAAGGTTGGTACTAAAACCTTTCTTATGTTTTTTATTTATGTTATGTTTTATCTATCTGCAGAATGAGTACCAGGAGCTGCGAAAGCAGTGCCAGGACTTTGCCACCGCCCTGCTCGACCACACTCGCACCTCCCACGAGCTGGAGATCCTGCTCAACCATGATCCCACCGGTCCCGTTTACGAGCACGGCGAACGGATGCATTTAAACCGCCTAAAGCTGGCCATCAAACTGCGACAGAAAAAGGTTTGAATTACTATAAAAGTCAATATGAACAAATTAATTAGTAATTTAATTACCCAACTAGTTCGTGGCCCACTCGAATGTGCAGCAGTTGCTAGCGAGCATTTGGTACGAAGGATTGCCTGGTTTCCGAAGGAAGAACATGGCATTGCAGGCTGTGGACATTATTCGGATCGGCATCATGTTCCCTATCTTTTCCTTGGCCTACATCCTGGCACCCTATTCCAACATTGGCCAAACCATGCGCAAACCCTTTATCAAGTTCATCTGCCACAGCGCCTCCTACTTTACCTTTTTGTGTGAGAATTGCATTTTAAAATATTAAATATAAAAGATATTTTGAAATTTTATTTATTTTAATTACACTTTCAGTTCTTTTGATGCTGGCTTCTCAAAGGATAGAGACCTTTATTGGCGGCTGGTTCTTTGCCGACTCCTCGGGAATGCTCAACAGGGTGGAGGAGCTGCCCACGAAGCGTGGAGCCAAGCCCACCTTTATAGAGTGGCTAATTCTGGCCTGGGTCAGTGGTCTCATCTGGAGCGAGGTGAAACAGCTGTGGGATGTTGGTCTGCAGGAGTATCTCAACGATATGTGGAATGTTATCGACTTTGTCACGAACTCCTTATATGTGGCGACGGTAGCTTTGCGCGTCGTATCTTTTTTTCAGGTAACATAAAATGCTTAAATTAATTTAGTTATATTTAATTATACCTTATTTTTTAGGTTCAAAAAGAGATGATATACAACTCACATGCTACAGATCTGCCTAGGGAGCGATGGGATGCCTGGGATCCGATGTTGATATCGGAGGGCCTATTCAGTGCGGCGAACATTTTCAGTAGCCTCAAGCTGGTTTATATATTTTCGGTGAATCCGCATCTGGGGCCACTGCAGGTGTCGCTGTCCCGGATGGTGATGGACATCATGAAATTCTTCTTTTTATATGTCCTGGTCCTTTTTGCCTTTGGCAGTGGTCTTAACCAGCTGCTCTGGTTGGTTTTTAATTGGAGTACTGACCTCACTTAGTTAATGCCTTCTTTTTACTTCTTTAGGTACTATGCTGATTTGGAAAAGAAGCGTTGTCCTGAGGTTTCTCCCATGAGTGCACTATTAAACATGAATGGAACTAATGATCCGAATGCATGCATTGTGTGGCGTAGGTTCTCCAAGTAAGTTTTAATTATATAAAGAACCAACCTTATAAAATAATTTATAATAACTTTCTTCAGTTTATTTGAGACCACACAAACCCTTTTTTGGGCAGTCTTTGGCCTGATAGATTTGGACAGCTTTGAGTTGGATGGCATCAAGATATTCACAAGATTCTGGGGCATGCTCATGTTTGGAACTTACTCGGTTATTAATATTGTAGTGCTGCTTAATCTGCTCATTGCCATGATGAATCATTCGTATCAACTGATTTCGGTTGGATATTTTTAGCTAGTTTAAGATTTTAAGAAGCTAATTTATTTAATTTTACTTTTTCTAAGGAACGTGCTGATGTTGAATGGAAATTTGCTCGCTCAAAACTTTGGATAAGTTACTTTGAGGAGGGCGGAACCTGTCCACCGCCATTCAACATTATACCCACTCCAAAGTCCATTTGGTATGCGATCAAGTGGATGCGCCGCGTCTTTTGCAGCGGATCCTCTGCCGCGCGACGGGAACATCTCAAGACAATAAGAGTAAGTGGTTCAAGAAACATAATTCTAGAAAGGTTTACATTTTAAAAGATCTTTCACAAGGATCTCTTAATGGCTTTTAAAAATTAACACCTATCTTTTCTTAATTATCCTGCAGCGAAAGGCTCAGCAGGCCAGCGACCGGGACTTTAAGTACCAGCAGATTATGCGGAATCTGGTCAGGCGATATGTAACCGTAGAGCAACGGAAGGCCGAATCCCAGGGTGTCACCGAGGACGATGTGAACGAGATTAAGCAGGATATTTCCGCCTTCCGGTGTGAGCTGGTGGAAATACTCAAGAACAGCGGAATGGACACAAATGTGACGGCTGGTCAGGGAGGAGGTAAGCCCAGAAAATCTCTAGGGATTACTAACAAACCTCTATTGAAATGGGTTTTTCTTGGCCCACAGGAGGTGGTGGAAAGAAAAACCGACAGAAGGAGCGCCGCCTAATGAAGGGTTTCAATATCGCACCACCTGGCTCTACCGGATCATTGGCTCCTGTGGCCGAGTTCTCCACCTCGTTGGATAACTATGACAACCAGCATGAGATCCTCAGTTCCACACTATCCACCCTCTTCACGCCGAACTTCATGCACAAGCGTCAGCAGAGTCAAGTCGGATCGGGTGGTGGATCGGAGTCACCGACCACGCCCACAAATGGTCAGGGAAATCAGGGGGCGACAATAGCCACTAGTAGCCAGGTCACCAAGTACAACAAGTCCGCTCTTAAGCCGTACAATAAACGGATTGCGGGACACAAAAAAAGATGGGGTAAGTGTATAATCTAAATTGTTAAAATTATTTATGACGAAAAACGTTTTGCGGTTGCAGGAACCCTAATAGAAGCCGCGAAGGTAGGCAACGTTAGCAAAATGCTTGGTCGTTCAAAGTCTGAGGATTCTGTCTGCAACTCCTCACATACATCCACACCAGTTCATGGTCAAATGCGGGTTACCTATGCCCAGAATTCTCCCCAGCAGGGATATGGATACCATGGAGAGACCAGTTCCACGACCACATCCACACCGACTCCGACGATTTCGGTAGTCAGTAATTCGCCAGCAGCCCACGTGGGTGTCGGGTCGCATTTCTTTCACACGACAAGCGGTAGGTTCTAAATTTGGACAATTCTGTAGATTAGCAAACTAATTTATCACTCGTCTTAATCAAGGTCTCACTGCCATTGCCGCCCTAAAACGCAAACGCAAAAAGTTCTCATCTAGTAAGAACATTTGCCCAGTTACCGAATCTGTGGCAGCAGCGAATGCTGCTGAGATTTTAAATGATAAGGTGAGTTATCTTAACTAAGTTATGAAAAATATCTATTAACTAAGTTTTTTTTCTGTTAGACACTGAAACGCGTGTCTAGCTATCCGGCAGCCGAGGCCGGAGTACAGCACAAGGATCCGGCTCAGTTGGTCAAGCCTCGCCGGCATGAGCAAACCCAGAGCCAACACGATTCGGTGGAGACCAACTCGACCTTCACGCTGTCCATCGATCCATCCAACACGTCTGTGAACTCTAGGGAACCGCTGATCAGTACTAGTTGCGTTTCGAACGCGGGAGCTATTGGCTGAAGGAATTTTCAGAAGATATAGGATGCCAGAAATACCAAAGATTATGCCAAGAAACTGAAGGCAAGTCGTCGAGGGCCGGAGATAACAAAGATAAAGCAGCTAAACTTATTAGATGGCACACCTGAAGCATATACTTAGATACTATATATACAGATACACATTGTTGACATTTTTGATATGAACGACATAATGAGTGTGAAGCTAAACTAACTAAGGAAGCTATACTTAAACGAACACAGCCTAGATTCTAAATTACCTCACCATGTTATGATATAGAGACCATTCAGAGAAATAGCACACATCACTCAATAACTGTTAATCAATACTGGAAACTCAGAAATAACTACTATTTTGCACAACTGAAATGATATATCCTGTACCTTAACCAAATCTATCAACATCACCCTTCACAACTTACTATCAAGTCCTTATAAAGATGAATAATGAAGCTATTTTCGGCAAGCCGAAGCTTATATAACAGGGCAGTTATGAACCAAAATTACAATAGGATATAGTCGTCCGATTTTTATACAGCTCAGAATGTACTTGTATGACTCAAATAAAACACTGTGGTAAAAGCTTCTTTGCATCACAATGAACTCCTCCTAAACCTGAACCATAAAGCACACATATCATGCAATCGCTTTATAGAGAAACCTTTTACACCAAAAACAAAGTACCAATTCAAAGTCGAGTTGGAAATATGTAGATCCAATAAAGTCCTTTACCAAATGCATATACAAATACGAATACTAAACTATCCCATATCGATGTTGAACGTTGCCTTAGCATGAAACATATTTTTTATACACATAAGTTTTGGATGAACATTGAATTACTGAAACGTACTGTACCCGCAATGAGGGAAGCGCTGTGTATTTGTTGATTTGAGAGAAAGGATTTTGAAACCAAGGATTTGTTGTTGTTCCAGCAAGCAAGCTAGTAAGCCGAAAATCAAAGCAAAGCAAAAGCAAATGCAAAGAAAAAACAAAAAGTAAATAAATCAAAAGATCAATTTTATACACCGATTTTAACCAACACAACAAACAATAATCGAATCGCATACTACTAATGTGTTTGGATTTTATGGGTATAAATATCTGGTCTAAGATGTGCATATCCATAGCCTGCACACACGACGATTTTAGCATATAAATAATATAAACATATATAGAATACAAATATTAATAATCGAAATTTTTAGATGATTTTTGCGTTAAAGTAGACAAATACTCACACAAATACACGAATAATATACGGAATATCAACGAAAACAATAACAAGGAATGTCATATAGCATTTTATATAAATACTTTCTTTTGGAATAGCAGAACTATGTTTCACGATGGCAAGAAATATCCTTGCAGCGGCCCAGAAGAAAAAAACTAAGAAGGCAAACGAATTACCAAATACAATGTTAGAATAATATAAAAATTGTTATTTGCACGGAAACAAAAACTAATAAAAACTATAACGAAGCGTGTGCAAAAGCGAGTATTTACTGTGGCCATACTTTCTTTCTTAATAACAAAAACCAAACGTTTTTTTTATTATTTGTATATCGCATTTATTTTAAATGTTTCATATATATATATATATTTTGCAAATAAATTTTATAAGTTGTAAACATAGAAACATACATAATTTCCATTTATTTATCATTTCATTCCGATTTAAGTTTATTTATTTATTTATATTTAATATATTTATATAATTTTTTTAATTTGCATCAAGCAAATGTTTATGGTTTACATGAACAAACATTTGTTTTGTTTTGTGTATTTTTTTGTTATTTTTCTTGATTTTTTAGATAAGATTCCGTTTTGTATAATTCACATTAAATGCTATGGAAAGAAACAATTACATTTAGTTTAATTTATTTAATTAGAAAAATAATAATAATTGGAATATAAATCACTTTGCCTAGTTGGGGCTGCTATAGCCACATGGGACAGCCTACGAAAAAGTGTCGGGTTGAATTTGTTTAGTTGGTTGTGAAATGCAACAGTTGGATTGCCAGCGGATATAGCAGCCCCAACTGGGGTTGCCTTGGTTTTCTCGATTTCTGCTTGTCGTATAATATGTTTATAATAAATTGTGTAATAATTCGTATAAAAAGGTTGTGAGAATGAAAGAAGCGTCTGCTGTTTTACATATATCTATGTTTTGTATATATATATATATATCTGCGTAGATTGGGAGCGTTTGGGGAAACAATTATACAGCACTGAATACTTGTAGCTAGTAGTCTAATAAATTCATATTTTTCTTCGTTTAATCATTCGTTAAGCATTTGCCCTCCGACCCCTTCAATGCCCCCGCTCTCAATTCGGTTACGTTTTAGCTACTTAGGAGTGTCTTTAGTTGGTGCAATTTGTTGACCAGCTATCTACAATCGTTATTGTTGGAATACATTTTACAAAAGGTCTTGTAAAAAAAATCTTGCGCTAAGGGGCCACATGCTAGTTCTACACGTATTATACACGAATTTTACAAACCCACCGGGAGGGCAAATGCAGTTTGGGGGGCCACACATAAAGTAACAGTTTGAGAAGCATTTTTCGGAACAGGTCTGACAAGTACTGGTGAGCCTTTAGGTTTTCTTTTAGGTTCGTTTGCTGGCTGCTCTGTTTTGTTTATAGCACATATGGAGATTAGACTTTCGTTTTGTGACAACAAATATTATAAGTAAATACCATTATTAACATTTAGCTGTGTGAATGTATGCTTTTGCGGTTTTTGTGTACATTTAATACAATAATGGGGGTTTCGCTTTCTCATCTTTCTTGTTTCTTCTCTCCTCCTTTTCACTTATTTTATTTTTAGCTATTTTTTGTTTTGATTTCCTGTTCTGCTTGTTTGTTTAAAATTAGACAATATACAGTTTGATTTTGATTCAGTTACGGTACATATATAAAAAATACATAATTACAACTAATGCTTTAAATCACTTCTTTGAGACATAAAGTGTTTCATATTTGTTTTTTTCTTTTCGCCTGTCGTTTTGCCGGCAATTTTCTATGGTCCGACCTTGGGAACCATTTTTGAAACTTTTTTGCGTCACAATGGGCGCCATTTTAATTTAGAACCCCGTGTCCTTTTATCCCCGCAACATATTGACGAGCATGGCCGCCAAGAAAGTGCCCACTAGGAAGGAAACCACAATGCAGACGGCCTTTTGTTGGTCACTCAGTCGCCTCCGGTTGGAGTAGAGTGAAGTTAGCTTACCGACGATCCGCCTTAATCCACCCGCCTGTGCCAAACTGGAGGAGATGGCCGCCGTCGTTGATAAGCTGGAACCCGAGGAGCTGACACCTATTCCGGAGTGCGGATGGTGGGCATGGTGCATGTGATGCGAGTGGTGCATGTGGTGCTGATGCTGGTGATGGGGGTCCGTGGCGCCGACCATTCCACCACCTCCTCCGCCGCCGCACGGCTGATGGTGGTGGTGATGGTGATGATGATGGTGATGGAGGGGATCTGCGCAGGCATTGAAACCGGAAAGTTCCTGTTGCAGTCGTCCAATTGCCGCAGGATCCGCTCCCACGCCGCTCGCTCCAGTAATTGCCGACGCACTTACCGATCTCATGTGCAAACCATTGGTCGATCCATTGCCAGAAGACAGTTTCCGGCTGCTCCTCTGCGTGGTGGCCACCGCCGGTGGTGCAGTAGAGCCGTGCAGGTGGTGATGGCAAGTAGCCGCACTGGGATCAAGCTCACTGGGCACCTGGTAGCGCAATGGACTCGACGGTTGACCGTAGAGTAGCTCTCCACCTGCCGCTATTCGCACAGGACACACACGGAATTGGTAACAAGTGCCTGCGGCAAGATTGTCAATGTTAAACTTGGTCTCAGGGCCAAGGTACAACTGTCTGTAGTCATGGTTGGCCAAATTAACTGGAGCTCCGCTTGAGCTGCCACTGGAACTGCTGCTGCGACCTTTGGGCGAAAGAGATTCGCCCTCTAATTCTGCTGTACCCAAAACAGCGTATTGCAACTCGTACTCGACGCGATCATGGAAGGAGTTCTTAGAGTGCTGCCATTCCAATGTGAGTTGCATACCCAGTTGGCCGGGCAGCTCCATAAGGCAAACGCTACCCTCTTGGACAACACGAGGAGGCTTTATGTTCGCGGGCAGCGTGGCCGAGGTTTCGAAAACGAATTCTTCCGAGTAATCCCCATCGCCAGCACGGTCCGTATGGGCATAGATCCGGAAGGTGTAGCTGCTGCGCTCCTGCAATTTGTGCACCTTGCACATGCAATTGGTGCCTGAGTAGACAGCCTGAAACTGTTTTGCCCGTGCCACATACATCTCCACAAAGTATTTGGTGAAATCACCGCCGTTTCCAGACGGATTGGAGTTTACCACTTTGCCAGTTCCACTCTCACCCCACTTCAGCTTGATGTAATTGTGTCCAGCACCGCTGCACTCAAGGCGAGGTGGCGCCGGGGGTGCCGGCTGGGTCGTCAGCTTTGCATAGGCACTAAAGGCACCTGCTCCAATGGCGTTCACTGCTTGCACGCGGAACTTGTAGCCAGTTTCGGGCATTAGACCATTGACCGTATACCGCGTACAGGCATCCGGAGTGGCGATGGTTCTCTCCCCGTACTCAATATTGTAGGAGCAGATGGGAGATCCATGGGCCGCTGGCTGCGTCCAGTTTAGAGTGACCTCCTGGGCGGTAAACTCGTAGCCCTGCATTTGAGGAGCTCCAGGGACTGCGGCCGGAGTGCACACACTTATCACATCGGAGGAGGTTCCCGTTCCGGCTGAGTTACTCGCCTGGATGCGGAAATGATAGCGTGTGTAGGGCGACAGATTTTTTAGCTCCGCGCAGGTTAGCGGTCCCTGATAGCAGTTGTGGAATTCTGTGCTGGGTGGTTCCTTCGCCTCCTGCTCGGAGTCCTCACCTGTTCTTTCTTGGCTGGCACTCTTCAGAGTGTAACTCGTCACTGGCGCTCCATTCTCCTGCAACGGCGGCTGCCAACTGACACCCAGATGGGTGGCAGACTTGACCAGCACCCGAAGTTCTTCAGGTACTCCGGGCGCAGCAGGTGCTGCCGTGAATCTCATCCACTGCGACCAGTTTCCGGCGCCAATACGGTTAATAGCCCTCACTTGAGCCTCGTACATGCCTCCTGGTATCAGATCCTGCGCAACAAAATAGGCCTGTTTGCCGCGGTACACCAATTGCGGTGGTTGCACTTGCTCCAGGCGACGCATTTGGGCTTCGAACTCCAGGATTGGAGCTCCACCATTGTAGTCCGGATGCTGAAGTTTCAAGAGGGCGGCGTACGGCGAGGGAGGATCGCTGCAGTGCGGTGGAGGAGGGGCAGATGGTGGCACTGCTTCCGTGGTAACGTGTCCTACATCGGAGTAGGGACTCTGACCAGCAGGACCTTCGCAACAAGCTCGCAGGGCGTATGTGGTGCCCGGTTGGAGTCTCTCGCACATGGCCTCTGTTTCAGCTCCGCTGTAGATTCTCTCAAAAGCCGGACCAGCGGCACTTAACTCCAAGTGGTATCGAACGATCTCGGCACCACCAGTATCACTGGGTGCATCCCAGCGAGCCTTAAACTGAGTACCATGAATTTTTCCCTTGGCATGTGGCTTTCCTGGCCTTCCTGGACGTTCCGCTAAGGTGCGGTAGCTGACTTCAGGTGACCAGGGCGAATAGCCCGCTTCGTTCTCGGATCTCAGACGGAATTGATAGCTGCTAGCACGCCTCAATTGCAGGCACTCCGTTTGTAGCTCGGTACCCTTGTAGGTATTCAGGTAGCCATGTCCAGATTCCGCATCTTGCAGTTGCAGCAGGAAGTCTCCATCTTGTGCCCGCCGCTCCCAGCCGAGTTTCAGGGAATTCGAAGTGCTTCCTATTAGCTGGGGAGGTCTGGGCACTGGTGGAGGATTACCGGAGGTGCTGTAGCTGGCCACCGGAGAGTAGGGACTCTGACCCACTTCATTCACAGCGGCCAAACGGAAACTGTACACAGTAGTTGGTTGTAGCTTCCCAATGACATAGTGCTTGGTCTTGATCTTGGCCAACTCCACGAACTTCTGCGGCTGTCCTGAAATTCTGCCCTCATCATATTCGAGCAGATAGTGTTGTATGCTTGCACCGTTTGCTGCCGGAGCAGTCCATCGAAGATTTATCGAGCTCTTAGTGCGAGAAAACAATTTCGGAGGCGGCGGTTGATCGGGCTCACAGGCTGGAGTACGGAATTCCGTGGGATCGCTTACAGCTCCGGTAAGTTTCTGGTAATGCACTTTCAAGCGAACAAGGTACTCCTGGCCGGGCAGCAGATCTTGCACAATGCACTCGGACGCCTCTCCTTGGTACAGACTCTTGTATTTGCATTGTTTGCCCGAATCACAGAGGAGCACTTGGTACCGCAGCTGTCGCATATCGACCGTTACGGTATCCGCTATGGCTGGACTCTCCCAGATGATCTTGGCCGCCCGTGAAGTCACATCAATCACTTCCGGCTTCTCAATGGCTGAGATTTGCTCTATGATGGTATTCTCTCTGTGGTACTCCTCCTCATCATCGCCGGCCAGACTGGAATTATCCTCGCCGTCCTCGGAGGTTCCCACTGAACTGGCGCCGCCCACACTACTGCCAGTTCTGTGAGGATGCTGATGATTTCCATTTCTGGCCTGTGGATGCTGCTGTGACACAGGGGGGGTTTGAGTCTGGTGTTGCGGCAAGCGACGCCCTTGTTGGTTGACCACATGATGGTGGCTGCTGAGGTGGCCGGGCATGGGTACGCCCGGAGGAATGTTGTTATTATTGTGACCATTTAATTCGTTGGCACGTCGCGGAGATGGCGAATGCGGCGGATCTGCACAAAATTAAAGTATATTAATAAAATTTATAGTAAAGCTTATGCTTATGCATAAGTTTACTTACTTGACTCCCGCTGCTTCTCCAGCTTCTTGAGCAGCTTGTTATGCTGCCGCTGACTGCGCTCATCCCGGTAGTTCGGTGGAGAGGGCGAGTGTGGGGAATGTGGGTGTGCCTGCGGATTTGTATGCGAGTGGGCGTGTGAATGGGTGTGTGAGTGGGAGTGCGAGTGGGTTGCTGCCACAGTGGGTGGTGCTCCTTGAACTGTTCCTGTCGTCACTGCATTTGGAGCTCCTTGGACCGAAGGTGGTGCCACCTGCTGTTGTTGTTGCTGTGGTGGTGGTGCTCCTTGGGGCGCCTGCTGCTGTGGCGGCGGTGGTGGCGGCAAATGAAAGTGTGGTGGACCATTGCCGGCAGGACCTGGACCAGGATAACCTGCCACAGGGGTATAGAAATGCGAAGTGCCATTCGCGCTTATCTGTAAATGATTAAAAATTCATTCATTAATCATATTAAACGTTAAAGTGAATCGAAAATAATTACTTTAATAAGCAGCGTTTTGCTCGATTTCTTTGAATCTTCCATTTTCTTAAAATATTATATTTTTGAAACACCACGTCGGCATTTAACACACAGACTAAAAATATCTCGCGAAAGAGACACGCCGACTAAAAATTGATAACAACAAATTTATGTTCGATTTCTTATCTTTTGCAAGGTGGGAGTCAAAAATGTACAATTCTTATTTGCGCGGTAAATTCCTTCAACTTGTTCTTAAGGTGCATTGCTTTTATTTTTTAGGAACTATTCGGCCCTTTTAAACTTAAGTAACAACTAAAACGTTTACAACAAGTTTAAGGAATACAATATAACTAAGTGATTAGGATGTTGTCCAAAAAATACACTAAATTATACTTTTTAATACTGTAAGAATATTCGCATCTTAGACACCACCCAAGGCTTAGAATTCCGTTAAGCCTTAGCTATGACTCAAACCATTTCGTTATTAGTATTTTTAGGGTGACCATACTTTTTTGTTGGTACTTGTGAGGAGTATATTTACAGCGGGCAATTTAAATGAACATTTTGATTTTACACTAATGTTTCATTATTGTCAGGTAATGATCGTTTTATTTTTTAATTTATTGAATTAAATCAGTAGCCTTGTGGGACCCTTTAAATTATCTATTTATTAGCGGTCATATTAAAAAGGTTTGAACTAAATGCCCGATTGAAGCGATTTCCCCAGCAGATCATTAAATAAATCGCTTTGCGGTATATGGGCAATTAGCCACGCCCGCATGCTACATATATTAACTAAAAATGGCAAAAGTGGCCTAGTTGATGATTGATAATTTAGCCCCACTAATCGTTCCAAAACTGTAGCAAATGTTTTTCTCTAAAATTGCACTAATTTCATGTTTTTATACATTCAAAGTTGGCCTTTTAGGTTGTGCAATTTGTATACTTTAAAGCGTTTCTCTCCACGGTTCTTTTGGGATGGTCATAAACTATGAATATCCAAAAATGTGGGTCAAAGTTAATGCGTTTTTTCTGTGCGGTTGATGCGCGAATAATAAAGGAGAACAAAAGAGCCGGAATAGCAATATGAAATATAAAACAAAAAACAATGGAGATTACAACTTGTTCTACGAGGAAGTTTCGTTTTCGCTTTCGGTTTCAATGGTGCGACAGATACCGTTATTTCGGGCGCTTGACTCAAGTTGCATAATGAACACTACAACAGCGACTATGCAAATTAGCATACAATCAAATTATAAACATTTCAACATAAACACACAAGCGGAAACTGCCATTTGTAAGGTGCTCTGTGCGAATCTCTGTGTTTCGGGCAGTGGCTCACGCGGAAGGGATGAAGATTTCTGTAATAGTTTTTATTGTACATCATAGTTTCAAATTAATTGCTTTAAACGAACCGAATCTGTTTGTTTAACCAATTATTCTACTCTGTAGTTCCTTTTTTTAAGAAAAGCGGGAAAGTATTTTTTCCTTTCGTTCGAGCTATGTTCAAAAGCCCCTACAAATTTTCCCAACTGCTGCCCCTGTGGGCTTGAGTATGTGTTTCTGTTGTGTGGTGGCAGCAAATTGTTAATTAAGTCAAGGAAAATTCAGCCTCAGCAAGTCAAGTCGGAATGGCGGAGTCAGTCGAGCAGCCACCGGCACTTTCATTTCAGCAACAAAGCGTGACGAAGCCACATGTGTCCAAGCTGGAATCCGAGGCGGATGAAGTTGTTGCCCGCTGCATTAATCAAGTTTTCCACTGCGAAAATGGCATTAGGAATTGCGGCTTATGTAAAAATGTGACAGCAAAGTTCAGCTCAAGTGGAGTTCAATTAAAAGTCACAATGTTGCCAGCAGCGGGCACGACCGACTAGCAACATTTAATGGCTTGAACTAACTAACATTAGATAAAGCAACAGCTAGGCTCTACAAATTGTTATGCAAATCGAGAGTTTAGTTGCCATAAAAAGCTCGGCGTATTGGCAACTAGAATTCATTCTATTTAATCTTTCACTTTAAATCGAAGAATATTTTTTATGACTTATATGAGGCGGGTCAATAAATTATATTCAACCTTTTTTGGTTGTTAACTAATTACATTTTAATTGAATTGTTAAACATGTTTTTTAACTTTTCAAGTTCTTTTATTTTTTTTATTTGTCTACAATTTAGTAATAAATCAGAAGCAAAGGTTCAGTAAATTAAAACCCCCCGGAAAGCGCGTAATCAATGGAAATTATATAATTCTCATTGCAATTAATTCTGATTTTAATTGAGCGATTGATAATAGTATAATAAATAACCTGAAGAGGGAGATGGGCGATAGAGTTTAAATTGCACTAGGCGCTAGGCCAGAACCGGATTTATAGTCTGGCCAAGTCACGAACTTGGACTATTCTGGCCATCATCTCCTGCTCTTTGGACAACAACTATTTTCCCGCTATGGAAATGAAAATATTTCAATTTCGGCTCGAATTTTGTTAACAATTTCTGCACATAAAAGAGATGATGGGAATGTTTATGCTGTACAATGAAATTGTTATTATTAAATTATTAGACATAAGTGGCGGCGGCAGCAACAGTTGGGGGATTGAAACGTGATGTGAATGGGTAATGCTCATCTGGTTTGGTTAACAAGCGTTTTTTCGCGTTCGTTGCCATTTTGCAAATTAGCGAGGCAATTTAAATGGAATGCAGCAGCCCCCGACTCTGAACTTGGCCATCATCATGGGACCGAACTAGTTCCGCATGTTAATGGGCCTAAAAATGTGAAAATAAATCGAAATGACAGTAATTTGTAGCACTTAAATTATATAAAAACTACCAAAAAAAGCCTAGTATTCATTTTCAATTTTCATTTGTAATAATTTAAAACTTTTAACAACTGAGGTATAAAAAGGGTACAATTTTAATTATCTGTACGTGTAAATATTTTTATCTCCCTATAAAAACAATTTATAATAGTTGGAAATTCCCATTAGATAATTTTACTTTTTATAATGTGGTATTATGAGAATGATTTTAAGGCTCAGAATAAAAAAGAAAAAAATTGACAAACATCTTCCCATTTAATAGACCATTTCAGTTCTTAGCTAAACCATATAAATTTTTTTCCGTGGAATATTATCAGTTACCTGGTGAACAACCGCATTTTACCCCCTTCAGTTGGTAAACACCTATTCCTAACTGGTTAATTAGCATTCTGGGCAAACATCTTCGCAGAACGATTGTCAAAGCTCACGCCTAAATGACAGCTCGCGAAATGCAATGAAACGAATTCAGACGGCAAATAAACTGCCTCAGAATGCATTTGCCGTTCAAATATTTGCGCACAGTGACTCAGTAACTGAGCATTGCGAAAGGGGACTTTGGAATTGTGCGAAATGGACTAATTAGTTATGCAATTCTTACACTTTTCCGCTCCCCGCAATTTTTCCAGTGACTGTAGAATGGCCAGCAAATGAAACGATATTGCAGTTTGGAAAAGTAAACTTAAGCCAACCGATAAATAAATAAAATAAAATGCAAAAACGTCGACAGCTGGCCAACTGCTTTTCCGTTTTTGTTTTTGTTAAAACTTTATTTTAATTGTTGTTATTGTTTAGGTAAAAGTTTAGCAATTTAAGCCATTGTTTCGGCCCGGCTCCGTTTCATAATGCATTAGCGCCGAGTCTGGTTGCAATTGAATAGTTTTCAGTTTTCCAGGAACCGCTTCACCCGGATCCAATCCGGTTTGTTTGCTGCACACGGCGACATTTGGTCAATAAATTATTTTTACAGACGCCCCCAACGCCAGTTTCGTTTTAAAATCGAATAAGCATCGGGGAATTATTGCTGCTGATTGCTGGTTGTTCGCTCAATTAGCTGTCAATTAATTGATAACGGGAGGAAGTCCCACCAATGGGATGGAAATGAGATATCGTCTTCCCTTTCCGATAGGGTTACATGTTTTACAGCTTTATCAATTCTCTTGCCAACAGTTGCCATTTGCTTGCTGATTTCCAATGCAGTTTGATGTCTGCATCAGCATCAAATAATTATCTATCTATATTTATCTATTTATTTAATTTTTGTATTCTGATTATATTTTCCTAACAATGAATGGTATTTTAGTTGATTTTAATCAATATGATTCAATAAGCTTAATTAGTTTTTGATTGAAATAATTATTTTAGTGAAAAGCACAAAAGGGCTACTTACGAAAGGTGCTGGATGGAGGTGTCCCTGGCCAGGATGCAGTTGTTGGTACTGCTGCGGCGAGAGCATCACATGGGTGAGCGTTCCGTTCTCGTTGACGTACTGGGGCACCTGGACGGGCACCGGCATCGGGGGTGGAGGTCGGTTCTGGGACACCATCTGAACGGCGGGACCTGTAAGTAACGAGCGAAAAGGGGGACAAATTACTTAAGATTCCTCAACAACTGGCAATATGCTGATGATGTGTGCGAGTGTGAGTGCGACTATCTCGCAGATACAATATAGTACACATATATGTATGTACTATATAGTCATGTATGAGGGCACAAGTTAAAGCAGGCGACAGCTGGCGCCAGCGAGGCGACAGCGAGACACGCAGGAGAAAGGAAAGGGGGATGCCAGGACATTGCCAGGACAGCCATTGCTGCTTTATGTCAGCGGCGATTTCTCTGTGTTTGTTTAATGGATATCTCTCTCTCCCATCCTAGCTGAATCTCAGTCTTTTTGTGAATGTGTGCAAATATATATGCACAGCGAAGAATTTAGTATTTAGTAACCTAGGATATGTTTTTACAGTTTTATCTATGCTTGTTAACAATAATTTTTCAAAACTAAGCCCGTAATACCCGTAAAATTTTTTTGACGGTTTTCATTTTTTTTTAATTTTTATTTTAGTTATACATCTAATTTTGAGTTTAAAATAAATGTACATTTAGTAATAAAGATTCGACAATTGAATGGAAATTTTAAAATAATTATTTAATAACATTTCATTTAATACATTTTCGGATTAATATATCTTTTTATCGTACTTATTTGCACAGTGTATACATTTGAATATGTATGTTTGTGTTTGCTGCAGCCAACAAAATGCTTGACAGAGTCTGCCAATTTCTGGCTCCCTCGTCGCCTCGAACTACTCAACTACGATACGCATACGCACCGTTGCCCAATTCCGATTTCATTTGCAATTTAAGTCTGTCCGATGATTAATATCCAGCCCCGGTCCGCCCCGTTCCGTTCATGTCATAGGCACTGCACTGCCCTCCTCCTCTCGATAGTTGGCTTTAATAAATGTGTTGGAGACATAGAAATCTCTAGAGCAAACATTTCTTGGCAGCCTCATTTCGTGAAGAGAAAAATCGAAAATTGTAGAGCCATCCGAGCAGGGCAGAGGGTGAGCAAGCGAACTTTTCGGGGTTTTTGGCAGGGCATTGGAAACGGCATCAGAATCAGAATCATAGCCTCAGTATTGTCTGGATATGTTTCGGGTTCTCGTTTCGCCGCTGTCATTAGGACTAGGGAATGGTCGGGGGATAATACTAATATCAGGACTTCCATTCCATTTCCATTCCATCTGGGGATCCATTTCAACTGCAACATTGTCGCATGTCATTGCCACAGAATAAACGACAGCAGACCGCCTCGTAAGTTGCCCCCCTCAAACATTTGAAATATATTTTGATTTGTGGATTTGTATTGCTTTTCGATTCTATTTCTCTTCGGCTTGTTTCCATTTTTTCTTCATTTTTTTGGCTGCAATGCGACGAAGAAAATAATGGAAAAGCTAAAGATTGCGAATGAGCAAACATTTGTTAACGGACGATGTCTGGCCGAGATTAGCGCCTAATTCGGTTTGATAAATGATAAGGCACTGAATACCCAGCAAGTCTGGCTGATAAAATTATATTTCAAGTGGAATAATTAAATTATTATTGTAATGTATTGCTAAGTGCCATGTGTTAAGAGCCATATATGTAAGAGTTCATTTACTGGATATTCTTTTGTTATAAATTATTAAAAATGTAAAGCCTATCGTTTTTATTAATAAGAATATTTAAGCATACGAGATTAAATATTTGACCTCACTTGGTGCCCTTTACTTAAATTCCCACGCTTTATCATACCCATAAATATTTAAAACCGAAATGGAAAAAAAACTAGTCAGAAATCCATGTTCATCATAAAATGCATTCCATGTTTGCACATCAATATGGATGGGTTAAAATGCGATTCCCAGCTGCAGAATTGCACTTTGCATGCCCAGGCACGTAAAAGGAACGTGGCCACACCCACTTGTGGCCCCTTTTTGGCATTTTCCACTTCTATTTTGTTCGTAGTATTTCCCCTGCCTTCTAGTTTTTTTTTATTTTATGTTTTCGCCTTCTGTTCTGTTTCGATGGCTAAACAATGCAGAGTTGCATTTTTTATGGACACCACGCGGCGTATGCGTAATGTCGGCTAATGGATTGTGGGGAGTGTGGTTATGTGTATATGTATGGGTAGGGGAAAGGGGAAAGGGGTAAGGGAGGGGATATCGCCGCTTTCGCTTTAATAGTTAAACTGTAAACTTAACGGTAATGCGGCTCTTAATACTCTTAGCCATGTCTCGCACTCATTGAGGCCGAAAATGCTGGGCCTCGCCATTCAATCAGGCGTTAAATGCCATCCGCCGGCAGAAATGGCTAGACTAGACCATCCAGCCAGCAGCAGTCCCTACGACTACCGGAGTCTCTTGATCTGCTCTTAGGTGTAAAAATGTTGGTTTAGTGCACTGACGCATAATGCGACTGAATAGCGGAAAACCGATGATGGCTGATAAACTGAAACCAAGAGTTTTCTCCCTTCTGTTCACATTACCCAATGCAGTTAATCATTCTGTGAGCGGAAGGGAGGAAATGGGGTGTTTTTAGGGGCCGGAGTAGATTGTCTGGCCAGGAAATGCACACCGTTCAGAGGGCGAGATAGATGGTGAAGTGAATTTCCCCTCAAGTGTTAAAAGGCAGCAATTAGTTAGGTGAACGGTGGGGAGTGGTGGTTAGGGTGCAAGTGGGGATAGCTTATCACTTGGCCAGCAGACAGACAGTTAAATTAAGTACTATACTTCTGCGACTAAACCTACCCGCCTTTCCCCTCCCAACGTCTGCAACTTCTACTCAAACTTAATTAATGCTAAACTGCTTAAGAAGGTATTTGGGGTTGGGGTTCTTGTAGAAGTATTTTCGCCAAGGAAAGTGTAAGTTACTAAAAAGTTAGAGTGGATTCTTGGGGAAGTATGAATTATTCGGGAAAATTTAAATATTAATATTTATGAAATCATGAATATTTATTAGGAAACTTTCAAAAGGAAAGATTTAGTATTGAAATATAGGGAAATTTTTGTATCTATGAGGTTGGAAAAACTTTAAGTCATTCGTTTAATCTTAAGTTATTACATTGCGTGAGTACTGAGACTAAATTTATTTATTAACCCAAAACTGTGATGTCAACCCCCGTTAGGGGACCACCTTCAACTTCAATTTTCTGCCCTGATGGGTTGACCTTGTCCCCTGTACTCCTCTTAACCCTCTTTTACCCCCTTAACCCACTCCATTCCTTGGCAGACAGTGTCAAAATAAAGTTGCGGCTCAAACGCGTTTGGGCTAATTGCAAATTGTTATTGCTTTCCTGTTGTTACGCATTGTTGAACCACTTGGCTTCCTATTCTCCAGCCCACAGTCTGTCAATTGTTCAGTTAGTCAGTGTTGTGGAGTCGTATACAAGGGTCAGGGGTCAGGGTTGTTGTCTGAAGGTTGGAAGCACGCACACGCATAACACGCACAAAATGTCTATAAAATTAATAACAATTCGGTTAGCAGCCAAAAACTTTGATTGTGGAAATTGAAGTAGGGATTGCCTCGGATTGAATGTTTTGTTTGATTTGATCCAGTGAGTTATTGTCGAGGAATTTATCTTTTTTTATATGAATATCTTATATATTATTCTCATCCACGTTCTCCTTTGATAAATGCCCAGGGAGTTGAATAAACTTTCGATTGTCTAGAGCTTGATTTATGATTCTTTTTCGATTGGAGGATATGCAAATGCTTCTCCGTGGGGGTGTCAATTTGATATTATACTATTGATTGGGAAAGTTAACTCCCAAGGGGCTTTTCATCCAACGCTTTGATGTTCTCGATAATTACCCACCAAATCTGGAACAATTTGCGGTTAGTTGGCTCATTATAATCAACACTTTTCCTCACTTATCTTGAATTCCCATCTCATGGTAATTGCGTGTCTCACTCTTTCTTCAGTTCTCAGTTTCCCATCGAAACCCCCTTTCCCCTTAATTCGCCTACAATTAACGATGCGTGCGCAATTATCTCGATAATTATGATGAAACAAAAAACAGAAGAAAAAAAACAAGAAATGCAAACAAAAAACCGCTTTCGCAAAATGCAATTAGAGCAGAACATTCACGAATTCCACTATGGAAAGCTCTAGCAGAAAATTTCTTAAAGAGTTCTCCCCATTTTGTTCACGACATCGCGCATTAATTGCGCATACGCCCCCGTTAAATGCTTTCCCACAAATCGAAAGCAACAAAATTCTCTAAGACTCATTGATTGATGGTCTTTCGAGGGGTTGGAAAAAGCCAGGGAAAATGTGTGAAGCTGTTTTCCCATTGGGGAGGGGGTGTGGATTGGGAGTTGGGGTGGCGCCACACAGCGCGTCATTTGGCAGTCTGCACGTGTCGCACGTTTGTTTCACGACTTCACTGTAAAAAAAAACTATAATATTGATATCAAAGAATTGTATGTAAAATTAGGGATTCAAAAACAAAAGGAAACTTTACAATGTACTTAAATTGTTTTTAAATTTTATATTACAAAATCCTTTACGATTTCTTAATACATTTTAAAAATATTTAAAAATTTTAAATGGTGTTAAGTCTAGCTTTGCTATTTTTTCCAGTGTCCTGGTCGTTGTCTATTTGTTTGAATTTCCAATATCTTTGACGAGGCAAACACACAGCCTCTGTCTGCTTTTTCCTCCTGTCATGCAAATATTGGCTTTTTGTATGCCACCTAAGTGAAGTCCTCATAGGCAACGGAAAAATGGTTAAAAAAATGAAACAGGATAAACGTTGAAACAGCCGTGAAATTTTGGTGTCACCACCCAGGGGATAACTGGGAGTTACGCGTACGTAGGCGTGGCAACCAACTGTGACCGCCGCATCTACAGGCATTTGCCAGCGGATATATACATTAATGCCAACATATACAAATAAGTATATATATATATACAGCCGTCAACACATTATGCCTTCATTTATACTTTATGATGAGTAAATATTGTTATTAAAAAGAAAAATTGCGCATTGTCTGAGCGATAAACCAAGACTCCTCCC